AGACAGGAACGTCGCAACGAAGGAACTCTAACAGCTTTAATGTCAACAGAATCGCTCGTACAACAAGATGGATGCGATAATCACACACACGAGGGAAAACCGGCGCGCGCATATAATATAACACAATGCCGCAGGCACTGCCTGGTGGCGCTGCGCACGTTAATTTCATTATTCATTTACATAAGCTCGGACATCTCTGCGCTCATTGAAATGCTCTGAATGGCTCGGGCTACTAGAGTGTAGCTGGTTTTATTTTCCCAGTGAATACACCACTGCTTTTTCCATTCTTTGATTTTGTTTAAATATCACTGCACTGTTAAGTTTGAAACTTCAGTTAAACCGACTGCACGCCTTAATTTGGATATTGAGTATCAAAATGTGGACATTTGGGGCCTGTGGGGAGGTGCGAACGCACCCGGTGCACCCCCCCTGGTTACGGGCCTGCACTGACCGAAAATTTTGTGAAAAGGACGGCTTACCTACAAACTGAGCTATATTCTGATCCGAAGGAATCTTGATTTCATCAGTTTCCGGCTAAAACTGCCTTGAAAATAGCTGTCGTTCGCCTAAAGTAGAATTCCTTGCAGATTCCAAAACGGCTCGAACACTGAAACAGGCGCAAATCCGTGGTCACGTCCAACGTTTCTCGGTAATTAGCCGGTAAAACATCCGTTGATAGCTAGTTTGCTTGAGGATCAGAGAACAAACAAATCGACGTTCGTTTTTGGAAACGCAAATAAGGATTCGGTTGCTTCAAATTCAGATAACAGTTTCATGGAACTCTCTCAAAGGTCACGTCGTGTTTTGACCGAAATAGGATTCCTAGCGGAAATATGGAATCCTGGAACTAGGAAAACAAGGCATGGAATTCACCACCCAGAATAGTGCATTTATCAACGGAATTTAATTACGCGAAAGGCGTGCTTACAAAAATATTGTTTTTACAACTGATACTGTAAATAAACCCATAACGTATAAAAGAACGACGTTTTTAAGTGTTACAAGAAATGATAAGTTAAAGAAGTTGGTTGTTAGGAGTTATTCAAAATACAGTAAATCACGCGTTCACTTGGGTGCTGTTTTTCACTAATTTGTAACGACTATCGCCTGCCAAGCTTCCTCAACTCACAAAACATTATACTTTATAATTTTGCCGTTGACTATTGCAGAATACCTTGAAAATGGCTAGCCTGAGAAAACAGCCGACATTTTGCGACGCCACCACTGGTTTCACATTTCACACGGTAACCAGTGGCGGCGTCGCGATATGTAAATCGTGTGGTTTTATGCTAACAAGTGTTTTTAAGCAAAATTTACATTAGAAAAGAGAGGATGTTTCTGTCAAGACAATGTCAACCTCAGCCTCAAGTTCACTCAAAGGCTTGGACACAAAGCCCTCAACTGTGAATGGCCTATTGTAACTACTTCTACAACTGAAGATATTTAAATTGTTAGGAACTTCTACAACTGAAGATAGAATAAGTTTCCAAAACATGTCTTGTAAATTGAAATTGTTGAGTCATTTCTTCAGATAATAATTTATATAATTTTTCATATAACATTAATGTTTATTATTTCACTTTTTTCCCATTTCAAAAAAGTAAAGAGCAGGGAAATAGTGTATGACCACTTGCAGTATAAACTTGTTTGAACGGACGGGCAGGGTTGAACGGCGGCCGGAAATAACGTCACCATGTGTAAAAATACTGCTTTTGCTAAGTTCCCTGTAATTTGACTTACGTAACCCTGCTTACGACAGCACAACACAACAGGTAGGAATTTAAGAAAACGCTTTACATTGCTTTAGTGAGACACACACTCGCATTCACTTATCATGACTGTCAGCTTGTCTAAGAGGAATTTCTTTTTGTCCCTGGTTGCAGATACTCCTAAGCATGGCTACATTGAATTCTTGGAGCGTGTTGCTATGATAACGCTCACACAGGTCATAACTGTCAAAACAGATAGGATGTGCGACGTTAATTTCTTCATTTACTGTGTTAATCAGATCCTCTCTTTCTGAATATTCCTGCAAGCACTGTATGTCTTCCTCCTTTTCCGTTGACAAGCCGACAACACCCTGCTCTTTACGACGTGCTGCTGCCATCCGCGAAAAAAAGCTCTGAACTTGGTTCTTTGAAAGCCACTCAGATCTAGTAAACAGGCGTTCATTAGACTCATTTTTTAGCATTTCGCATGTCTGCTGCAACCTGGGTCAGCCTTACGCCCTGTTCTTTCTCCTATTGTGAAACGTGCTGTTAGGTATTCTTTGACCTTTGGCGAAAATCTAACGCTACTTCTCGGTTTGCTTAAGGCCCAACCTGTTTGCAGAGATGATTTGCTTGAAGTGACTTCTGAAAACGTTGGCGGTCCCCCGGAAGGCACTGAATACATTTCGGTGTCAGCAGGGTTATCTACAGATGAGAATTTCAGTGGCCAGTCCCTTCTGATGACATCATACTGGTTTAACCTGCTGGCAGTATGTTTACCGACATCGATCAAGATGCAGCTCTAACTGCGCAAAGGATTCAAAGGCCTCGTTGCAACCGAGCTTTGAACATTCAAACAGTGGTGTACTACTCTCAGTACTCTTGCTAGCTTCTGAACTGGGTTTTACCTCTCGTTTTCCAAGTGGTACATAGAATTCTAGGGATTCCACTGTTTGGAGAGCGGTTGGAACCTGATTGGTGACATAAAGCATTTCATATGGAATGTACTTTCCATCGCCTATACCATAGCATTTCCACACTCTAAGACCATCAGCTTCATATTCAAAGTTATGAAAGCTGCTGAACTGCTCCATCTTCTTTACCGAAAGACTCTTTCTCGACTCGTTGACTACACAAACCGCGGCAGATGTTCCTTTTACCGGGTGTTGTATTAAGGCATCTCTCATGTCTGCAGCAGTTAAAACATCATGACCTTCGTTGCAGTACATACGGATGGAGGACTTCAGTGGACACAGGATACGATCACAAATATCCTTTCCAGACTGTGGCTCTGAGTAATGATAACTATGTACTGTAACACCAACTCTCTTTGCGATATCTCTTACAGCAGCAATCAAGGAGCTGTTGTGATAACAACCAGCCTCATCTGACTTTAAATATGCTCTTTGGATGAGAGGATTCCTGGCTTTTAGTTTTGTCAGAAGGTCTTCTAGAATTGAAGCTACTGAGAACCAATCCTGTGTACACTGATCGAAAAGGTGCGCGTAAGAGAGAACCTCAGTTGCACTGGACATGTCTTTGGTCACGACACTAGTGATGTGCCAGCTGAGCCCTCTCTTACCATACCAATCAGTTTTTTTTTCTCTGTAACGAAGCTGCAAGAACTTCATAGCCCAGTCCATTACTAGAAGGCACGAATTCTGATCAAGCTCTGCCAGTATATCTTGTTTCGCACATTCCTGGTTTACAGCTCTCATAATGTGGGCTTTCCACTGTACAATAGCATCGGAAGCTTTCTCGATGTCGTACAGGAAGTCTTCTTTCTGTTCTTTGCTGTAAAAGCGTAAGCTTTCACTGTCATTGACGGTTTGTTGCAATTTATGCAAACAGGAAGTGATGTCATCACATTGAGGGCAGCTAAGGGTATGTTCATGTGTACATTTCTCTTGAAAATTTTGATCATTCGGGTCACTTAGACCCAACTTACGGCAATGATCTGGACATGAGCTCTCATTATCTTTGCAATTCTTTTGATATTCTGTTTTCAAATACTTCTTACCGTCCCGAAGAGATCTACTTATATCATCTGCCAAGCTCTTCTCTAGGCCAATATGACCAAGCTCCTCTACTATTCGTTGTAGGCGCTCGAACGCCGCTGACCCATCGGCAGCTGTGTTGTCTAAACCACTCAAGGATTTCTGTTGTGAGGCCTCCCGTACTTCGAGAACACGAAATAGACTCGCGCGACTTAGGGGTTCGTATTGTTCTTCTTCACAGAACTTTAGATATTGCCTGATCATTGTTGCTCTTGTTACTTTACGTATGATGTTCGGCATTGTGAGTTTCTCGCCGCTTTTAAGTTTCAGTTTCCTTGTACCAAATGCAACATCTTGATAAAAGTATGGCCGGTTAACAAAGTCTAAGAAATGGTCAAGTTTCGCTGGGAGAAGTCGAACCCTATGAGAAGGCGGCTTTTCTACTAAGGAGCCTGGACTGCATTCCCTTGCGTGAGCTCTAGCACGTTTGATTTGCCAAGATGTTAGCTTCGCAAATGGTTCGTGGATCCTCTGAAGCGTCCTCGCTGGATATCTATAGGCATAAAGGCTCAGAATTTGAGTCTTCACGTTTCTTTTCTTAGCAGCGTTGTAGGCTTGCATCAGTGGTTCAAGATCCTCATAGTCTGCCTTTGTATCAGGAATACAACAGGACTGAAGTAGCTCCTGTGCAGCCTTTGGCGCTATAATCTCACACACGAGGCTACAGGCTTCAGTAGCCTTATCGATGCACACTTCTTTCTCGTGCTCTTTTGCCTCATCCCACGTCGTTTTTAACTGAAACGTTAAGGGACTGACCTGTCTAGTAGTAGAAACCTCATTAAGCTTTCCCATGGCGGCATTGAATTCTGATATGGCGGACTCTGCCACGCTTTCAGCAACATCCTCCTTCCCAGAGCTACAGTCCGGAGGCCTCCACCCCGTCGTCCACTCAGCTGCTTTTGCTGTCGGTGTCACGGAAGGCGTAGAAGATACTGCAGCTGAGATCTTCATAGATGCAATACATTTTACAAGTCTGTACAATTAAGGAAATAAAAATTAACACATACCGGATTCAAGTTTTCTTTTTACTTGATTATTATCCTCATTGTCGTTGAGGCGTTAAATAAAAAAGTTCATAGAATAAAACAAAGAGGACTCATAATAAGCTGCGCACATAAAACCTGTCCCTATTAAATAAAAATGAAGTGATACGAAACCTTTTCAATACAACACACTAAACAATTTTTTTGTATCTAGAAAGAAATGTGTTTAATTTGGAGTCATTTACATTGAAATTCATCAATAGTTACATAGTTTATAGCAACGTACTGATACTGATATTTTGCGCCGGAAATTATGCACCTTGAAGGGTTATCATCCTGTTTGTTGTTGTCTTCGCTTCCTTTCTGTTTCAATAGAGCATTATTTTCTTCAAGCTTGACTTTGTGTAAGTTAAAGCAAGATACACAGATCACTGAAAATAAAAGTAGCGAAATAATGAGATAAATCGCGAGAAAGGAATGACTGAATGTAAAAAAAAAAACAAACAACCAAACAAACAGTCACAGAGAGAACAGGAGTTGCGCATCAGGCCCCGGCGCGCTCTTTTCACACCGCACCTCGAAAGCGGAGAGCTCTTTAAAACAGGTGTAGAAGACACAGAACGGCTAAAACGAGCGAAATTCACATCACTAGAAATTTCTGGTGTTATCAACACGCGTCTATTACAACCTTTCTAGCAGCCTTAACTGCTGACAAACTACCTTATTTTCCTATTACATTATTTAGTCAAATAATGATCATTATTTCATCTTTATCTTTCCCGGGGTATATTACATCGAGCCAGTTTAACTCCTTCCAGTTGACTTGCTAGCTCACTTAGAATGTAGTGGATACTGGCAGGTTTGACGAGGTCGCCAGTATTTCCCCATGTCGTTTCTGTGTTTTTCACATATCCAGAGCCGCTCAAGTTGATCGAACGAAAGGTCGTGTGCTAGACCTGATCTGTTGAGGATAAGGTCATATTCGAGGAGTTGCCCCTGAAAATGACTGAGGACGTTCAACTTTCACAATGAATCGTCGATACTGCTCTTGCAGTCTGAAAGTTTTATTAACTTGCCGCCAGACTCGGCACAAACAGATTCACCTCTAGCCTCGAATAAGCACTTACAGAGTTCCATTCCATAAAAAAATAGGGTGGTAAAGATTAAAACTACCAAAAGACTTTCCATGCGTTAAGTATCCTCACTCGGCTCCTTTTCTGGGCTTTGCCTTGTCCATGATTTGACTGGCTAGCGGTATCATGTATAAAATGGAAGATCTGATTAGCAGCGAATTTTAGAGGCCATCAATTTTCGATTCTTTTTTCCGTCTATCCTGTTTACTATTTTCACCATTTTATCTGGTCATGAATTTATTCAATGAATTTCCTTTTGCTCGGTATCTTTAATGAAGAAGACCCAAGGAAACATAGTTGGTTTCTTATTCCAGGTTTCTTAATTTCTCCGTTTCCGGTTTCTAGCTAAAGTTGCGTGACTAGGCGTGACATCCCAAGGTTTTAACGGGCTTTGACGCGAACAAATTTTTATTTTCTCTCCGAAAACGTAGCTGAAAAGTCGATATTCTCGGCTTGCACTGTCACGCAATGAAAAATAAAAATGCAAACCATTCAATACAGAAGGACTAGAATCTGGGAAATGAAAAAAGATAAATATACAAAAACCCTTGCCAAGAATCAGGTCTGTGAAATAATTCAAACGCGAGATATTGGGAAAAACGGTTTACCTAAATTTATAAAGCTTTGTATGGAAACGCCATGTTGGTGTCCGTTTCAGGAACACCAATATGGCCGCCGGATACCAAGAGAAACATCTGTTTTCGAGTTTTCCTACTAATGCGTGAATTCTTCGCTTGAGGAACTCATAAAGACTACAGTAATATTTATTCTAAGACAAGGAATGTTTAGATTGCAAAATCTCCCAAAATCGGTAATGTTTTTAACCCACATAAGAGCTTTCCCCGGTCGCCAGCTAAATGCCGCGTCACGCAAAAGCCTGGAAATTCAAGCGTCCTCTCTAGCAAAACGAAGAACCCTTTCGAACCAAAAATTTGTTTATGTAAAGATGTTTAGGTACTGTAATACCTCGTGAAAGTAGAAACTCAGAAGAATCGATAGTTTCTTAGTTTGATTTTTGGTGACGTCACGTGCAACCCAAGAATATTCTGATTCTCGAGCAAATTGCTCTGAATGGTTGTCTCATCAAGGTATTTTAATACAATACACGCGAAACATGAGCCGTATGATCGTTACATTTCGATCGGAGACATTTTGGATTCAACTTCGCCAGCAATTTTCAAGGCTAAAGTATACTTGATTTTTATGGAATCATGCTTCTCGGAAGTCAGGATTTTATTTCATTTGGTCAAACGTTCCTGCCTCGCATAAGGTAAGCCGTAATTTAGACAAAATCTAGTCGAGATAAGTAGTGATGATTTATTACGCTTTAAAGGAAAAAATGGCTAAACCTCGAATGTGCTCATATAAAAACGACCATACCTTTTGAAATACTAAAATCGTACACAGGTTCTTGTGAATTCTTGTCAATTAAGGATCAATCTATAGTCTAGAATAACCAGCTCTGTCCCAAAAAGTAGAAATATGCTTCTAAACTAAGGCCATTTTTGGCCGTCTGTTCGATGGTATTTTATAGGGGTCATATTTTGGTTGATTTCATCTTTCTGCGTACGTTTACGGAGAAATACAGCGCTCCAAAAAATGCCAAATTTTCAATTTTTGGGCCCCGCCATATGGCCATGGCGAGCAAAAGAAATTCGTGCTTCTTAGCGCGGCCAGAAAATACCTTTGAATCAAAGCAAACCTATTTTAATTATAGTCCCAATAAAGGCTTTCATCTACCAGAGGTTCAGGCAAAATCATTTTTCACGCGAAATTGAGTGGGCGGTTTTTACTGAGACTGCCTCTTAATAATTGAGAACAATTATAAACTTGTTTAAATATAGTTTAGACTAAATTGTATGATATGCTGATTATGGTTTCCAAATTTTACAAAATTAATATTTTTTGCAGTTTATCCTCGCGTTTCTCTCCATCCGGGACCTCATTACGCCATCAACGGAAAAAGTTATACCCTTCCACTTTGTCACGTGACTGGGTACCCTACACCATTGGTCTCTTGGAGAAAGTCAGCCGGCCAGTTACCCCAGGAGAGGATGAAGTACAACAACAGTGCATTACAAATTCTACATGCCCGCAAAGGCGACTCTGACTTTTACTTCTGTTTCGCATCAAACCTGCTAGGAAGCGTTGAAAAGAAAACTCTCTTAGTTGTTGTTTCTCCTCTTCGCTTCACTGTTACTCCACCTGCAAAAGTTGTCGCTTGGGTAGGCGACACTTTTATGTTAAACTGTAGCGCTACTGGTGATCCCCAACGCGTCATCAGCTGGAAGAAACAAGAATGTCAACTGCCCGTTGGGCGGAGCCAGCAGTTTAACGGCTCGCTAGTGATAAGAAACATAACAATAGACGATATAGGATATTACGTCTGTGTTGCAGCGAGTGCAGGAGTATTAAAGGCGGAAGCTGTCACCACTACTGAAGTTTATAACGGTATTTTAATATAGACAATATAAGTAATAATACTACATCAAGAAGCTTCTTTCGTGTTTAGCAACCTCTCGTGTGCAAAACAAATAGATTCCATGTCAGTAATGTAGGAGCTGCTCGTAAGGTGTTTCCTCATTGGTCGTAGAAAACAATAATACATCATTGTTTATAATTATTTCCCATTGTTTCACCGTTAGGGTATCGAACCAATTAGGGTTAGGAGAGCTGCTCCATGTGGCTGTGTGTCTATTTAGCAATTATTCCTCGAGCCCGAATGGGCTCTAAGTCAATAGCCCATTCGGCCTTCGGCCTCATGGGCTATTGACCCAAGAGGCCATGAGGGCGAGAGGAATAATTGCATTAGTAAAATCCAATTAGTTGGTCAAAAATATCGAGGCAAAACAACTGTAGCTAGCAAAACGCGATTCAGTCGCCATTGTTTAGGTTTTCAAAGCCCGCCCTTTTCATTACTAGTGGGCTATAACCGCCCAGCAGTAGCTCAAACAATCAGAACAAAGCATTGATAATAGAACACTAGCTGGATCTTACTAATCAGTAATAGATCACAGCTAGATGTCGTCGAAATGTGGCCCTGAACAGAAAGCCTCCTTCAAAGTAACGAATATTGAATACTGACAAACCGTTAAAACCAAAAGGCAAAAGTAATCACTCTAGAAATACGAAACCTTTAATAAGCGGCTGGCTTCAGTCTCTTTTTTCACAAATATTTCTCTTTCAGAAACAGCACACTTGCTTTTAAGAATTATTCTTCAGAGTTTTAAACTACATTATTTCATACTTGCGATGAATATTTCGATCACTGTGGGAAAATAAATCAGTTCAGATGCTTCAAGCTGTGAAACAGTCCTGGGAGCCAGAGACTTATCATGCGCGGTTTTCGGTTTCGGTCAAGTCTTTGTAGAGAGCGGCACGCATACATTGTACTTTATCGCCCCTCAAAATTCAAATGTTAGGCGGCCAAACATGTCATGTTTGAACCCACTTACAAAGTACTTCTCGTTTCGTGTCCACGTTACGTTAAGATCCAAACGTTGCGTGGAGTGGGAACCTGACCGCTTTCCCCAGCGATTCCCGCAAGCCAGGACAACTTTGCTCGTCGGCGGCTTCTCTGGCAAGATTTTATTCACGAAGAAATCTTCTGACTTGTTGACGAAAGTAATACCGAGTTTGCATGTCATTTTGCTTGCTGTGCGTGATCGGCAGTAAAATGAATTACCCATCATGTTTAAAATTACATGACACCTCTGAAACCGACCAATGAGGTGGCATCCTTTAAATAACCACGCAGTATGACACAGGGCCAAGAATAGATTTCAGAAAATTTTCATGGGAAGAGGGTGACGTAAGGGGGATTCGATCTCTTACCTCATTCTCTTTTGCTCTTGTATAGGTGCGCTCAGGGTATCAAGCATTCTCGGTTCCCTTAACGGCGAGTACCTTGGCCAGTTGAATTCCTATTTAGACCCAGTCCTTCAGAGTCCAGACCGCAGCAGGTTTGTGAGGTGTTGGCAAGGTAAGACAAATGGGTGGGCGTCATCAACACTCCACAGCAAATGTGATGGAAAGGGTCCCACTGTAACCATCGTCCAAGTTGGTAGTTACATATTTGGTGGATACACAGACAAGTCTTGGTCGAGCCCATCACCCGGTAGGTATCAGTTACATATTTGGTGGTTAGACTTGGAAAACTGGTTATTATGTCTTGACAGTTTTGGTCGCACAGGGTTTCTAGGAATGCACACTCAGGTTATCTTTATAGCCGGCTGATTTTCTGCATTACACAGTATTTGTGACGGAAGGATCTCACATTAACATTTTTTCCTTACTGAACTAGTCTTGATTCTTCAGTATCATTATATCCTTTCGGAAGCTATAAGGCGAAGCTAATTCTGTTAATATTGCCCTATCGCATGTGTATTGTAAATAAAAAGCAATTTTTGTTAATTTGAAAATGAGACCTGGAAAAAATGCCTTGATTTGTACTAGAGTGAAAAATTGAACCGACATGAGTGGCAAGACAAGTGACCGAAAAAGAATCAAACAAACCGCATGGAGGTAGTCTTGAATATGATCACACTTTATATTAAGTTTCTAGCACTTTGCATAAAAGCGTGACCTGTGAAGCTAATACAGAAATCAACTAGGACCTGGCGACGTAGGGTGATGCATAAGGGTCGAAGGCTAATGTGATGCTGGTTTAAGGTGGCTCTGTCATTAATACAGACGCATTGAGCTATGACGAACTTTTCGTCGTAACTTTTTCGTTTTAAAACGACTTTTAGTTACGGATTTCAGCTCTAACGATTTCTCAGAAATTCTCTGGCATATTTATTTTATCAATTTTAAAAGTTTTAAAAAGCCGATACCAGAAATTTCAGTACAAAAATATCAGCAAAATTTTTGCTAGACATGTTTTTTTTTTAAACAGTAGGGTCTTCTTAAACTCTAATTTCGCCGAACATATACATATATATATTTACCAGCAATGAAATCGGAATATTTTATATTATTGTCGAATGATATTTGTTGTTCTTTGCAAAGTTTCTGAGCCATCTTGTTAAAAACAAAAAAGTTGTGACGAAAAATTCGTAGTACACTCAATGCACCTTTATTAATGAGGAAGCCACCATAAATAATACTGAGATGAATTTTACGCACCCTGTGTATTAAAAGAAGAAAGGGGAAAAAAACGTAGATATACAGCGTCTCCTATACCCTAACCTGGCAAATACAAAGCCAGTTTGACATCAACAAAAGACTGATTGTTCAAATTCTTTGGAGGTAAATTCAAAGAAAAACTCCGACTCTTATTGAACCATGAATATCGGTAAATGGAAAACTGATATTTCTTCGAGAATGATTTTTTTTTCAGTCAGTGGGACAGACGGGCCGGAGGAAAAATAAGACTGCCCACCAACCCCTCCCCTAACTCAACGTTAACATTTGCGTCTCACTTGGGGCAAAATGTTTGGTTAGGGGTGGGGTAGGTGATCCGAAAAATATTCCAGTACTCCCAATGGGAGTCGAACCTATTACCTTCTGGTAAAATAAAGGCAGGAAAATGCAGTACATGTAGTTAGTTTTTCATTTTACCCATTTCTAGTTTTGTTGGTTAGGCACAGTGTTTACGAGAAAAAATGGCCAGTGACTCCATCAGAATTATGGAATAGTAAAAGGATAAAGAGAATACCTAACACAAAGACACCAATATGGTGCGAAAAATGTATCACTAAGTCATTCTGATTTAATGATAAAAATTGCGTTTTCAGAAAATCAAGAATATTTTTTCCATGGTTTAGCTGTACATATACGCTAGGCGTATGTGCGTATATGGACGCTACGCTCCTGATAATGGTTTCAAATCTTAACAGACTGGTCGCTGACGCCCAACTAGTGGAGAAAGCGTCTGTTTTTGAACATTTTTGTTTAGCTAGACGGACCAAGTACGTGGTCGTTCGACAGCACTTTATTTCCCTAGTCACAAGATGTACCGTTTACAAATCAACAAATATTCGAAAGGGATTTAACTACTTGACCCTTTAAATTTGCTGAAAAAACAGACTGCAGCTCGTCTGCTTTCCATTACTCGCAACTCGCAACTTGCAACTCGCAACCTCACAACTCGCAAAATACCCAGTCCTTAACAAAAAGACCACGGAAAAGGAAGAAATACTGAAAAGGGCGCTATTTATATCTTTTTAAAATTCATTAGACTTCGCGCATGTGTTAATAGAGACCTTTAGATTCTAAGACGAGTACGACTACGAGTACGAGATTTTCTCAACACTAAGTAGTGCACGCGCGTGAACCAGCGTCATTTTGGCGGGAAAACGCGGCAGCCGTCGTCATTCTACTACGAGTTTTAGCGCGAATGTCGTGGTGGCGAAAACAAGTTATCAAATGTTAGAAGTTTTATCATTTTGCGATGGGGAAAGCGCGTAACCTCCTTCACTAAAGGTAACAGTGCTAACTTTTCTAGTGAAAAACGGTAAAATGAAGCTTTTCGGGAAGTCTATATTTTGAGAATACGCAAAAAAACTTCAAGTCAAATCTCGTACTCGTAGTCGTTCTCGTCCTCGAATCTAAAGGTCTCTATTTATTCACAGTTTGTCAGTTTGACTAACTTTAGTTGAAGTCGCCTCGCCGTTTCGGATGCACGTCCGTCTCAGCGAGGTCGAATGCCCAAGCCATGGTCCAAGAAATGTTTCTTCATCTTCTTCAAGGCTCGGCTCGGCCACTTATTTGCTCGACATTAACTTCGTCGACATCACAAGCCGTTTTACAAGCTTAGCTGCGAAAATTCCACCATGTCTGATGAATTAAACTCGACAGAAAACTCTCAGGTATTTTCACTTTTCGGTGTGGGGTTTGCATTGGTCTAAGTAGCCTCATATATGTTTGGTCTTTTTGCTGGTCGTTATAATTCTCATTTAGTTGCTTTGGACCAATGCTGGGAAACCACTTTTTTATTTGGTGCTTTAAGCACGTGCTGCGTGATTTATTCGCTTTTAGTCTCTCAAGTCTTTTTTTTTTTTTTGCAATCTTGCGTCGTGCACTATTGCGTTATCGTAGTTTTTCTTGGATGGTGGTAAATTAGTTATTTCATGTGTTTGAAAAGTTGTTAATTTTGGTCGAGGACCGGCTACATAAAATATATATTCTTCCGAGGACCACGAGTCTATCTCTTTGTCTATCAGATAGTGGTTATAAGAGACAAAAGACGAGATAACGTTTTGGTCGAGGGCTAAAAGAGTAACGTCGTTGTGCTACGCGGTGGCATTGGGAAAAAAATAATAACATCAGTTGCGTTCCGAGATAGCTGTGTCGCTCTGTGCCACGGGGTGCCCCCTCCCCGCTCTTTTACTCGGGCCATTTTTGACTCTCGTTCCTTGTTCTTTGCTCCTAGACCGCGAAGAAACGCTTGCTACGCGGGCTATCGCGGACCGAGAGAGCGGTGTCGCTGGGTGCTACGGGGTGGCGTTAAAAAAAAGTGATCGGTCGCGGACCGAGAGAGCAGTGTCGCTTTGAGCGACGGGGTGGCGTTAAAGAAAAAAAAATGATCGGTCGCAGACCGAGAGAGCAGTGTGTCTCTTTCCCTCTATTCGGTAGAAAAAATGCATTGCAAGGTAGAAAAGAACACAACGCGAAAGGAGTTTGGGAGAGAGCTGAGTCGAGAGGTCTTAGTTGTTGCAATTAATAAAACGATGACCGTTCTTGGGAAGGACGCGCACAGCTCCGTGCTCCATACCATTGGACAGCGGAAAGTAGTGGTTGCCAATGTGCGATAAAGCGGGCCATATTTAGCATATTTACCTAGAGGAACGGTAGGAGGAGGCCTGGTTACCGTGATTGCCATATTTACTTGATCGTTTCGTTGGGTTTATCGACAAAATTAGGCGTATAGGCACTATTTTTACCCCTTTTTCTGGTGTCTCTTTGGTCTCGAGGTTGGAGAAGTGGCCCCACAAGCGTTTTGCCTTTAGGCATGCCCTTGAGCCCGATTAATCGGGATGCGGTGGTCTTTTTCCCCGAGCTCGGGTTTGCAGTCTCTTTTACAATTTGTCATCTTTGGATCGTTTCCTTCTCGGTGACTCTTGCAGAAGAAACGCCGATATTTGTGCCTTTAACGTTACGGGGAGGGGTAGGCAGATACAGAAATGTTGAATATCTCTGGATGGAAACCCGAGAACAAAATGGCCACAAGTTAAAAAAAATGGCCACAAGTTAAAAGATAACATCTATCGGGCTTACATAGGCCCATATTATCGTGGGATAAACCATGTCGGGCCTATTTATTTATTCACTTTTACCTGGGCATAAGGAATAGGGACGTAGAAGCACTGAGTGGGGTCTTCGACAGTCACCTTTGAAGTAACAGTTTTCACAGCCTGTCACTGGTTCATGACTTAACGATTCGATTCATTGAATTGGGAGCAAACCGGGCATATTTGGGATGGGGTGGTAGAAGATTTTTCGCCTTTTGTCTCCTTGATGACGCTAGAGCCAAAGAGGACAAGATTTCAGGTTTATGTGTTGGCACGTTTCACCAGGTTTTATATTTGTAATACTTGCTACCGCTTGTGGAAGTTTTTTCGATTAGCTGTATTTTGATTCTTACAAAAGTAACAAGGCTGACTGATCCGGATGTCACTTTGTACCCATACCTTCGATCACTCTCCTGTGGTAACTCAGTATTGAGCGGTAGGCTTGGTGTCTGGTTTCGTTCAGAATAACTTCTTCATTAATGTTTACAAAACTTCTGGACTGCAAGTTCACACGAGCATTGTTCTTTTTCTTTACTGATTGCTAAATGTGTGGTTGTTTTCCCTTCGAAAAGTTTTGTCGCGCTTAAACTGGGTGGAGTGTTCTCGAATACAGTTAACTATTCCGTGAGGGTAGCTTTGTACATGGTTTAAAAGGTACTTCCGCACGCATTTCTCTCTGCTTTCCAGACCAAATATTTATAGAAATGGTCTGGGTTGTGTCAAGGCGCGGGTATTGAATTCCTAGATTTGGAGGGGCGGTGACATTAACGAATGCCCTAGAAAGCTGCGAAGCTCGGCTCTTAGATCGCTGGGACGAGGTGGCTCGTTAGGAACCTGTGAGAATATATAGGCCCGTTACGCAGCTGTCCCCATTTCGTGGTCGAGTCGTCCTTCGGTTCCAAACCACGCCTGGTGAAATTTTTCTTCCAAGATGAGCACAGATAGACGAGCGCATACACGTATAATGGTTTCTTTCCTCTCGTCTGCTTTGGCAACCGCGTTACCCCATCCGTGCTTTCCGCCCTCTCCTTTATTGGACTTTGTTTTATTTTAGCGTCGAAGAAAGAGCGAGGCTGTTGATTGGGTTATTCGCAGATTACAGGTGGCATGAGCTGATGCCTGGTGGTCAGCCGATGCCTGGTTTTACCCTGGGATTGCATGACCTCTGCACGTTTCGCGATGGATGAACCACGGGGTGGACATATCCCTTCTTATACCTTTGTTAAACAATCAAAATTAAAGCGATGAAAATGTTTTAAGGGCGAATGGTTAGATTTTGTTCTGCCATCAGTATATGTGTTTGCTTGTTCCAAACTCAATATTATGATATTTCCTGCTGCCTGGGGTGTGTCCTTGGACGTTAGAACGGATCCTGAGGTATTTTCAAGAGACCCAACGTTTGTTACCCGGTCGGTTCACGATTTTAACAAATGGTAAACAAAACTCAGGTCCGGAACATTCCGTTCAACGATCGTGTTTTCCTTGCACACGTGTCCTATTTACCGGAAAGTCATGAACCACGAGTTTCGGTCGGAACATCTGTGGCTCCCTGAGATTTTAACTTGATGGGAACGTCAGGTGTTCGGCTACTTCCTTTCGAATTTTTGTTACTTTTGTAATACTAAATCACTAAGTCGCCTATACAGGGGTCGTGATCGACTTTCCATTTCTAGGCTATAATATATAGTCTGTTGAAGTGGCGTAATAGTACACGAGAGTTAGGATTTTCAATCGTTTTGACTGTGCTTCAGAAAGAGTCGTAATCTTTAATATGCATTGTGTGCACGTTTTGTTTTGTTCATTTGACAACCCCATTTTCGCGTAAGACTGCAGATTTTGTTGAAAATGCATCGTTTTATAGGAAGTGAGCCATATCCTCTTCCTTCTCCAAGCGATTTAAGAGCTCAAGCTGGCTTACTCAATTTTTGGTAACTGGGAGGGCAAAGTAGACGCGTTAAGATCACTGTAACCCTCACCCAAGCCCTCATTAATCAGCACAAAGATGAGAACAAACAGTTATGAGAGCCATCTTTTCAGGTTTTGCTGGTTTGCCTTCTTGAATAGTTATTACTCGTCAACTCAGTTTCATTTCTAGTCACAGAAGGTATCGACCCTTTCCGGGCACTCTCAGCTTCTTTGTTAGTGTTGGAGTGGGAGTTTTGTCTCAACTTAGGTATCCGACACCGGTTGCTTTCTAAGGGGCTTACGTTCGGCTTTAACATCAGATGTTCCTGTGATACACACTATAGCTAGAAACATCTGGTTCCCTAGTGTCAAGCAGACTCTGCCCTCTATGTGGGATTATTGTAGTGAAGATCTGCATTGGGTTTGTTAGAGGTTATCCTGACCCCTTTTACTTGAGGTCAAAGATAGATCAAGCACAAAGTTTCCATCTACACTAGTCCCGTGCGAGCCTTGGCTAACCGGAGAGCCACCCAATATGCGGTTTAAAAACTAGAACTGTAAGTTCTCCCACAATGCTAGGACAAAGTTAACATGCATCACGTGGGTTGGTGGTCCCCGTTCCATAATCCAATGCGCCTCTCTTCAAATGATTGGTTAAATACTAATAGGTACAATACCGTACAAGGACTCAGCGTGGCCGAGTGGTTATCGTATCGGACTCGCAATCCGGCGGTCCCGGGTTCGAGTCCCGCTCTGGCCACTTGCTGAATTTGTACTAGGTCGTCCCGAGTTCATATCCTTGGCCACGCTTGTAAATAGTCAACTGGTTGCCTCCTGCCAGTTGGAGTTTTTAATCCTGTTATGTTGTATTTCAATTATTTGTTTCTAAATATTTGAGTGGAGTGCCTGCAAACTAGCTGTATAAGCTAAGAGCACTTTCCACTGTAAAACAAGCCTTTAAAACTTTTTAACGGGGGTAAAATGGGTTTGACTGGCCTGCATGACTCCCCGTGCCCAGCGCATGTTTTAGCCTTTTCACAGTTTGGCTTCCATGCCGGTATTGTCTATGTCTGTCCTCCTTTATACTACATGAGGGGCGGACTCTAGCAGATTTCGCTCAGTAATGGTTGTTGTTATATTCAATGCTAGTTTCTCAAAAGACTTTGCTTTAGGTTAGGCACTTGGTGTGACGGTATTGCTCGACTCACAAAAGGCAAGATTCGTCATGTTCTTAGGTTCTCTTATGTCGAAGGGCTAAGTTTTCTGTCTCGAAAATTTATTTCTGAGAAGGTCGTATGTGTGAGATCCTCTGTGTAACCTCTCCCTAGCAGATGCGTTTTGCATGACTCACACGATTCGTACTTGCCTACTAAAACACGGGACAAAAAATTTAAGCACTCCAACAAAACCTCAAAGCCCGGGGGATGGGGGGACTCCGCATATGAAAGGGGTGGGGATGCTTGTCGTCTCGCTTAGGGGTGTAAATTTCTGATTTTCGTCTCATTCAGGGTGTTGTGAGCAAAACGCCATCATATTTAGCCATGAAGGTCTCGTTTAGGGTTGCACGGGAATATAAAAATGTATATTTGATATGTATATTTTTTTGGTCTCTTTTAGGGGTCGAAAAAAGCTTAGGCCACGCCCAAATCGGTCTCCTTTATGGGTTTAATTCAAAAGTTCCGACGAGCATCCCCACCTCTTTCATATGCGCAGTCTCCCCCCAACCTCAAGGGTGAAAAAATCATTCAATAATCTTAATGGTGTTTTCATAGGTTCTTGTCGCTATGTCTATTCAAGTAAATCGTTCCTGTTCTCATTATATAACATCAATGGCTACGCTCCTGTTAAACTGAACATCAAGTCAAGAAATTACAGCAACGCTATATACAGATGTTTTGACAGAGGACCAGCGTTTGGTAATGGACACGACTTGCGGTTAACGCACGAAGCTGAAGGTTATCGCAATTCCTACACCTACTGTGGCAGTTCATTTCCCCTTCCCCCTGGGTACTCTGCATCTAGTTATTCCTGTAAATTTTATGCTGGATCCTACAAGTTTACTCCCAGCAATGTTGAAGTATTTTACGAGACAACAACTTGATCTGTTTCCGTGCAATCATTTTGAGGGCAAAATTAGACTAACAGCAACGAATGAAGAATAAAATTGAGTGAAATCACTGCTTACCAGTAGTACAACCATAGGCCCTCAGTAACATCCGATAAGATTACAATAAGCTATTAATCGAATATTAATGTTATAATTAATATTATTAAATGATATTGATATTATGCATTTCCATTATTGTTCTGCTCCTTAGTTGCGCGTTATTAAATAGTTTGCCAGTTAGCGTTCACATGGCATCGGGCGAATTTACGACCGGTCTAGATCGTGCTTTAGGTGTTTCATTCACACTTAACCACGCAAACCATACGAAAACTTATTAGACGCTTAGCCGTTCGAAAATTTGAACGCCAGAATCGAGCTTACTTTTAACCGGTACGGTCGAAAATTTGACCGGCGCGGCGTGCGGCCTCGCTGCATAACTGCTGGCAGACAACATTAGGAAATTAAATCAGCGCAATTTACCCGTCGGAATTGGAACTTAAGGACACTTCCACATCATCTACTGAAGTGTGTTATCTCGACACTAATATCAAGACTGGTGAAAACACACCCTTCCGTATCAGCATCTACGATAAGAGAGAGGACTTTGCATTTCGGATTGTCAACTTTCCTCATATGGACAGCAACATTCCCGCCAATCCAGCTTACGGTGTTTATATATCTCAAGTGGTGAGATATGCTAGAATTTGCACGTCCAAAGTTGACTTCATCAATAGACTCCGTGGACTTTCATTACGACTCAGACAGCAAGGCTTTGAAACCAATCTACTTCAGAAATCATTTAATAAATTCTTCAGTCGCTATGGTCTTATCGTCGAGAAGTATGGTGCAGCCCTGCGGGAGATGAGATTAGCAATCCAGGCTTGAATTGCACCATCGTATCCTTACATTACTTATTTACTGCACAGTGTTGTATTTCAGATGTATCTCGGTACGTGTGCGCTTACAATTTTATTTTGAGCGCGCGCATTATTTGTTTATTTATTTAATTGACGTGTACATTTAGTTCGTTTATTAACGTCTTAATTTTACTTTGCGTTATTTTTCTCATTTATACATTGTCCGTGACTGTGCTCACATGGTGGGTGGCTCCTCCTAAAATGTTCTGCAATTGGTATAGGATTTAATGGAGCCGAAACCAATTGTGGAATTGCACGCATTTTAGGTATCTTACTGATGAACAGTTGTGACACGTAGATATCTTTTAGCAACTAAGATAATTAGCAGTCTGTCTACTTTGAATTATAGATACACAGATTTGTAAAACCCCTAACAAAAGTGACATCTTAACCTGGCTTGTCAGTCCCGTGTAAACGATCGAAAATATTGAGCGGTTCCAAATAAACGAACTGTCCAGTAAAATTTTTTAGCAGAAGAAAATTCGTCTGGTGTCGTATGAACGTAGACTGCAAAACAGTCGGTTTTTTCCTTCAAAATCGCCGGTTTAGCGTGGCGTAAGAGTCTCACTCGCGAAGCGCGCAAGCCTCACACGCCTGCAGGGCGTCTCTCCCCATCTCGCTTTTCGTTTTCAGCCTCGCTCCAGACCTTTTGTTTGAATGCTCGCGCCTACTGCAATACGCAAAAATACGAACTGTTTTGCAGTCTAGTGTAAACGAAGCTTTACAGATTGCATAGTAGTTTTCTGTGATGTTACTCAGATTGTTTATAAAAGTTGCGCGCTGATCTTCTCATTTTTCAAATCAGAGCAGACATGCCATCATGCACAACTTGTATGAAAAATGATGTTAGGCAAACTTTTCCTTCAATGGCAACTGATTTTCGGCGCAAACAATCTCTTAGTATCCCAAAACACTAAGCAAACCAGCAGTTGGTTTTATTGTCAAGAAACATCTCTTGATTAAGCAAGTTGACTCCGGTATATGTGTTAACTGAATCAGCTCCAGACACTAGTTGCGATCATTTGACTATTACTCCTGGCGTCTTATTCATCAGTGTTCTTTCCTATTAGTAGATACTGTATCAAGCCAGACTTTGAAAAGGAACCTTGCGAATTTTACAACCATTTTAGTGAAACCAGGCCAAAAGGCAGGTACACTTACGAAGGCAAAGGAAAGGAAAACTAGCACTGAAGAGCGACGATTTGCATTGCAAGAAAGAAGGAGATGAGAGCATTACTTTTTTCGCTGCACTCTTAGTTGTAATAATTACAGTTAGCGGCTTACCGAAAGAGGTCTATATGGCGGTAACATTTTCAGAAATCCACCTATATACATAAATGGAATGTGATCTGCATTTCTTGTTGATTGATTGTGCACAAAAGTCAGTAGCCTCTGTAGCAAGCGTCGAAAGGGTCGTCTCCCTGTCCTTTTTGCACCTTCACGCAGGCTACAAATGGGTACAAACGCACAATCTCTACTATAAAAGAGTTTAACTTGAGAAACCTCCTTATTTAGACCTCAGGTGATTTCTTTTATTTTTCTTTAACTTTTTAAGTTATAATATGAAAAGAAACTGTAAAATTAAAAAAAAAACGGAAATGTTATCTTTTCGATAACTTTAGGTATGTTTTATGAGCTATGGACATGCTTCATAACTTAAGGCATGTTTTGTGAGCTCTGGACATGCTTCATGACTTTAGGCATGTTTTATGAGCTGTGGATATGCTTCGTTTACCGTGGCGTCAAAGGCATTGAACTATTATCCAACTGACCGTTTAATAGAGATGAAATATAATTAGCCATACAGGGTGACAGCGTCTATGCAATAGAGGTGACCGGTAAATAGAGGTTAAATGACAGATTATTTAAGAAAGGGAATTTAAAAAGTGACTCCTTAACGGTTAGCCGCTTAAAAAGAAGAGACCGGCTTAATTAACGTTTGACTGCACCTGCTAGAACGACCACGCGTTATTACGAACAGCTATTCACGGCCTAATCGTGCTCGTAGGTAAGAGGTTCCATTCAACTAGTAGTCCCTGCTTGTAAAAAAAATAATAAAGATTGTCGTCTTTATTGTGGTTTGAGTACCACGACATTTGCATATGCGTGACCTCGTTGTTAAGAAATACAACAACACCCGATTCTTTTTGCTCTAATAGACCGCGAAGCTAAGAAAATTAAGATGGCCACAAACACTTTGCTTGGTTTTCTTTGTTTAAGTTTTGCAATAGTTTCGGCAGCCCCCTGGGAAAGAAAGAAAGTTTTACTCCTGGGAGCTGGGGCTGCAGGAATCACTGCGCTAAAACACTTCATGATAAGGGAATTACCGACTTTCTTGTACTGGAGGGGCAAGACTATATCGGCGGAAGAATGAAAGTGGTTCCATTTGCAGGAATTAAAGTGGAACTAGGAGCAAACTGGATTTATTACTTTGACGAGGAAGAAAACCCACTGGTACCATCGAGGGACAAGCATAACTTAACGGGACATTTGTCCAACTACAGCAATGTTCGTGCGAGGTAACAACAATTTTGATGTAATTGTAGCATCCTTAGTGGCGTTATTTTTTAATTATTGTTTTTTTAATCACAGGGACTTGCTGGTCGCAAGTGATAACGGATAATTAGGTTTTTCGAGGCCTTACAAAGTCAAATATAAACTACTAACAAGTTTGCCCGGATGGGTGATTTTTTATAAGGTCTCGTTAAAGTTTGGCCTTACGTTTTCGTGTCAAATATACCAAGTCCAATACAACTGTTTCACGCATCACGTCTTCAATATTACAAGCGCGTTTAGATGGCGTTAGTTATTCCACAAAGTTACGAAAATTGCATTCTGACAACTGGTATAACTCAATTTTTTCATTAGTTTTATTCGACAAATACAATTCATTTTAAAAGAAGTTTAAAAATAAGACTCTTATTCTTGAAGTCATCAGTTCATTTTGTGTTTGCTTTCTTATTTAAATTGGTCAATCCCAATGAGGCTTAGCAGGGAGCAAACACCCACCTAACTGACGTCATATATGACGTACCCGTGCAATAGTTCTATTTGCAAAAGTCATTAGGGAAAAAAGTTACAGTGAATTTTGGTTTCAGTAACACTTGAATAAACAACTCTGTTTGAGTCTGGTAATAAGGGCCTATTCCAACGGAAAAACTATGTGAAACTGAAAAATTCACATAACTAGTCCGACAAAAATCGTCTTCTCGCGCCTGTTGCACTCTGTGTCAATAAAGGTTGGTTAAACAACCCAGCAGTACAAATACATAGTGTATTGTGACAACGATTTATCGTCGTCATCATCATCATCTTCATGGTTGTTGAAGTTGATAATCCAATAAAAGCTAATGAGCAGTAATATTTTTGTACAGAGAACCAAAAAGTAAACGTGATAAACAAAACGAAAAATTGGGGAACAAAAGAAAGCTTGAGAAAGTTAGGAACAAGGAACTTTGGGACGAGGGAGTATGGTCCATCAGTGTTCTCAGTTAAGGACGTTTTCAGTGCTTTATTATTCTCCCTCTCAGAAACGATTCCGGAGTTGATGTGACAGACATAAAACTGTATAAAGAGTGGCACAAGGCCAAGGAGGACATGTTCAAGATGGGGTAAGAGAGAGGCGAAAAAGATGTCCGGCCGAGGGATATGCCCGCCACCACTGCTCTTAAGATACTCGGCTAGAGGTCTAACACTCCCCTCAAGAAAGTCCTTTCTTGGTTTGACATCGATTTTGAATATGGTGAAAATCAACAAAAGGTGTAATTGAACGACATGGCCTCTGCTAGACAGGACCTGTTGATAACCGACCCAAGAGGAATCTGGACCCTCTTTAGAGATTTCTATTCCAGTTTTACGGACAACATATTACTGAACAAAACAATATCCACGATCAAGTACGATGAAAATGGTGTGGAGGTCGCCACCGCCGAAGGTGAAGTCTTTACTGCAGACTTCGCTTTGTGTACATTTGGTAGTGGTGTTTTAGACCGTGGCTCAGTAAAATTCGGCCCTCCCTTGCCTGAATGGAAGAAAGAAGCCATTTATCGCCTGAGGCCTGTTTACTACACAAAAATCTTTCTCAAATTTCCAAGTAAATTCTGGGGTGATAGTGAGTGGACATTTACATGTTTCAGCCCAGAACACAAGACATTTCCCAGTATTTCTCGATCTGGATCGTCCTGGGTTCTTTCCTAGCTCTAAGTCTCTGCATGCTGTATTGACCGGAAATGAAGCGCTAAGAGTGGAAGCACAAGATGATTCCAAAACGATGGAGGAGCTCATGGAAGTTTTGCGCAACATGTATGGACCCAGCATACCAAATGACACAGGTACTAATATAACTGATTCTTTAGAGGAACAGTTCTATCATTTTCTCATTTTATCGGTGATATAAGTATACACATTTGTATACAGTAGTTACTATGATTTATTTATGGTCGCTCGTCTGGTTTATTTTTTCCATTCCCTTGTTTAAGCGTTCGATTGGTTGATATTGATCAGTGGATCGACAGACCGACTTCCGATTGGCTGACTGGCCGAGCTTTCCATGACTGACTGACAGAAAAATTTTAGACTCGTTCAGTAATTGCCCACAGCCACTGACTAATCATGAATGACTGCGAGCAATCTGACCACATCTCCTCAACATATAAATGTTCAAGGGGGGGGGGCTTTACTGTATAGAGTCTCCCATCCAATAAATTTCTTTAAAAATTTACCTAGTGATTTGCGTCCTTCTTTCATGTCCATTCCAGGGCTCAGTGTCAATCAAATGGTGGATAACAGGAATTGTTCTATTATACTTTTCCACCGGATAATGATTTACCCGGTGGATCGCGCTATCCAGCATTTGAACAACAGGTTGCCTTAATCCAGGCCAGGTCTTAACCTATCATTGTGTCTAAGCCTTACTAGATTTCTTTGAGTCAAATTAAATGGCGTCAACTTTTAAACTGTATTATACTTTTGTTTTGTCTTGTTTCCTCTATAAGATATTGTGGATAGCAAGTGGTCGCAAAACTCATACGTCTTGGGTTGTTGGACAGACCCAGTCATTGGCACAGATTCCTCCATGTTTGCCAGTATGGCCGGCCGAGTGAAAAACTTGTTCTTCGCTGGTGAGGCTACCCATGCTGATTGGTATGGCTTCATACAGGGAGGTTACTACAGTGGACTGGAGCGGGCGAATGACATTGCTGGTTGTATTCAAAGCGGGAAGTGCCAACCTTATGAGCCCTTCACAGGCCTACCAGTAATTGTTAAAACACAGGACTGCAAGCCAAAGGACGCGTTATCGGCAATATCAACAAAATGAATTCAGTCTGGTAGGCTACAACGCCCAATTCTCATTCAGTAGATCGATTAAGATAGCGTAAAGTTTAACAAACATAAATTGGAAAGTCTTGCTCGGTTATATTACGAAGTGCGAGTTTTTGTTGAAAATGACATTTGCCAAGAAACGATTTTCTCCTTACACATCAGGTTGTTCAAAAGTTGGATAGCACAATCCACCGGATAAATCACTATCCAGTGGATGAGTATTACGAAAACCACCACTTATGTCCAGGTTTGCACACAGCAGCAAAAACTGCGATTTCTCCAATTTTTTCGCAATTTTTGCCACTGCGTGCAAACTTGGACATATCCCAAAACCACTTGCGTTATCCACTGGATAGAGATTTATCCAGTGGATAGTACTATCCAAATTTTGAACAAGAACTGGGGCCCAGGTATTAAGCTAGGCAAGCATGCCTCAGTACAAAAGCAAAACCTAACCTTGGCTCCTGTCAGATACTAGAGTTTTCTTGAACTCAATAAACACCTTATTGTAAAGAAATTCGCATTCTTACCTGTTCGAAATAATTTAAGTTGCTAATATTTTCTTACAGTATTACAGTAGTTAACAACAAACTTTTATGTGGTTATGGAAAAGGAGAATCAGAAAAGGTAGCCGATGTATAGACCCCTTGCAATTATTGTATGGGACCTGAGGTGATAAAATAGGGTAATGCGCAGTTTTGTTCTGATAGTTCTGCATAATGTTAGGGGTGGGGAGACTCTGAGTTAAACGGGGAACCCGACAGTTGAAAAGCACCCTAGAAATATAAAGGCAGTCCGTAGCCCCGTGTCTCTACCTTAGACATACTAGATCCGCGAAAGTTATTGTCGTTATTTACATTTGCGTGGCTTGCGACACATCTCCTTCCTCTTTCGGAAACTAAGATCAATAAAGACCTTATTTCAACTAACGAATGGCTTGCTCTTAACTATTTGTCCCTCAACCCTCACAGACGAAGGCTATTTATCTTAGCCACTTTGAAACTGCTCCTACTTTTACACTTAACTTATGAATAAGAGATACAATCGAAGTGAAAGATTTTTTTGCATCAACTTGGTTTTACTATTGACTTTCATTTTCATATTAAGAATACACGTAACAAAGTATCGCTAACCCTTTTGGCCATTCGTCGAATAAAAAAACATGATCAACAGAAGTGCCGCTAAGCTATACAAAGACTTCATTCTGCCGCAATTTGAATAACGTTGCCAGTTATTGTTTGGCATCCCTAGTGGTCTCCGCGATAGTCTTGCGAAAGCGAATGTTTTTTTTTTTTTTAGTTCCATCTCTTTTAATTTCCTTGGGACAGCGCATATAAAGAAAAATGCTCTCTCGATAAGACTAATCAGCAGACCCTTGAACATCGAAGAGCTGTCATTCTTTGCCCACGGTGTATCAAGCCTTAGTTTAGGAATCCGGTCCGAAATACAGAAATGAAGTTTTCCAGATTCAAGAAAGTGGTTACCAATTTCGTTCCTAGGGTTCGATTTCTTACTCTTCCCCGGAGAGAGAGAGAGCTAGACGAACACGAGTAGGAAAGAGGGTTAAGTGGTTATAGTCTTAGATTGAGTAGCCTGCGTAGCAAGCTTTTCCTCGCGAGGTTCGTCTAGAAAGCTGAGACTTCCACCTTTTTTTTGCTCCCGCTCTAACTTTCGCGCAATAACTCGATTGGAAACGCTTGCTACGCAGGCTATAGATTGAGTGATAATCTCAGATTTAGAACAGTCAACAACGAACAACAAATCTTCGATCTCAGGATCATTTACATGCACAAATTGTGACTTGACAATAAATCTTTCTAGGCTTATTGAATGATATTAGGCTTCTTGACTCTCTGCATAAGTTAATACATGCTATCAAGGAAATGAATCTTACAAATGACTACGCAAATGTAATATCTGTAAAAAATGGTTACTCAGTCAGTTTGCTTTACTCTTATTTTACCGGGTGTTAATAATATAACGTTGCTGAACGTGCGGTATTTTAATGTATTGTTATTGACACCACATTTATTTAGTTATCTGTTTTTCGAATTCTTTATTAAAATTACGATTTCGGTTGCATGATAGTGGTCAGCGATTGTGTAGATATATTAAAGAAGCTCCGCACTGTACTCGTTTATTAATAAAGCCATAGTTCTCTAACTGCATGCAGGTCTCTGGAAGTAGTTTAGTAAAATAAAAGAGGACCTATGTCGCAATTGACGCAATTGTAAACTATAAAGGATTCAAAATGGTTTAGGAAGGGGAAGAGAAATATGAATTTGCGTATGGCGAGGCCTCTTTTAAACTTCCTGCTACGTCCGTGTTTATTAGAAGCCAGCTTCATTGAAGCTCGACTCTGCCAAGACTTAGGCAGCGTTCACACTTGCTGCCCAAACACAGCGCCCGAGTACAGTAGTCGCCGGGCACTAATATGAACACATTCTCTATCACGCTAGAACTCGGACACGGCCTGTGCTTGTGTTCGATCGAGTGCAGGGTCGATACCTTATTCTCGAGCCGGCGCTAAAGTGGGCATCGCTTAGCTGACCTTACCTATGTGCACACCTTCAAATGCAGTGTATTACTTTTCACAGCCATATATGTACACAGTTACATATCGTGTACCCAAGATGTGAGCACAACACCATCTTCTGCCAGGACCCGGGCGCACTAGTACTCAGGCACCAAGTGTAAACAGCGCCTTAGGCAGCCGGCTTATTCTTGGTCCCCTGGTATGGTATCCGAGCACAGTACTCGCTGGGTAATACCGAACGCACAGTCTTTGTTTTCAAGTACTGTAAGCCAGAAATCAGACACGGTGCCAGTGCCCAAGTACAAGGCATAGGCCCAGTAATGGCTTTAGTGTGGGCAACTGCTCCCTGCAGTTGCGTGCACTCGTTTTTTGTTAGTTTCGATGCAAAATCTGCTTTACGAACCGATCCATAATTTCTTTACGTTTCTAGATGGCGTCAGTCAGCTGAGGGCAAAATGGAGCAAATATGTTCGCAACCCACGCCTGCGTGCACGATTGCCGGGCACCAGGAATGAATTCTATCTTTAATTTGATGCAAATGCAGGAACAATATAACGTACACAAAATTAATATTTCTCTTTGCTTTATTGAGCACCAGAAGACACCCGTATCCAGGCGACACCATGAAAATCACGAAAACTGCCCTTGTTCTTCTGTGTTTGACCTTTAGTTTAGTATCGACAACCCCCGTAGAAAGGAAGAAGGTCTTAATTCTGGGAGCTGGGGCAGCGGGAATCACGGCCGCTAAGACACTTCATGACAAAGGAATTTCCGACTTTCTTGTACTGGAGGGGCAAGATTACATAGGCGGACGGATGAAACAATCTCCATTTGCAGATATGAAAGTGGAGCTAGGTGCAAACTGGATCCAGTTTGCAGACGAAGAAGACAACCCACTTATACCACTGAGGAATAAGCACAACTTGACGGGACATTTGTCAAACTTCACTGATGTTCGCGTGAGGTAATTAGCATGTTTCTTGTCAAAACTTTCTTTCGTGCACGCGATCACGCAAACAGTTTAGTCAGTTTATCCCAGTATACAGGGCTAAAATCTCTCACATGAACACAAGATACCGAGACAGCCTCTGACAACTAGTCCGCTATATATGAAAAGGCCCAAACTTGAAAAAAATTCTAATAAATGCATGCTGTGCATGATAAATTGGTCCCTTGATTTATTTTATTACATCATTAGTCTCCGTTGTTCAGTTTGCAGATAACGCGCTCAGAGAACGAATAACTTGAAATGAATATTACCACCTTGGTATTTTGTTCCCTTGACTTGTTATTTCTACAAGATGCTCCTGCCTCAAACCTCCCAGGATAAAACACCACGCGACGCGAGTCACGAAACCAAATGTGAAACAATAGAATTCGGGATAAAGGAGCATTGGACTCTTACTCACTTGGAAAAATCTGATCATTGCTTTGTCATTCTTTCTCTTAGAAACGATTCCGGAGTTGATGTAACAGACAATTTAGTATATAAAGAGTGGGAAAAGACCAAGGATAAATTGTTCAAGATGGGAGAAGAGAGGGGTGAGAAGGATGTTCCGCCAAGGGATATGCCCGCCTCCACAGGTTTAAAGATACTTGGCTGGAGGTCTAATACTCCTCTGAAGAAAACTCTTGCTTGGTTTGACATCGATTTTGAATACGGTGAAAGCGACCAGAAGGTGTCATTGAACAACATGGGTTCCCTTGGAGACGACCTTTTTATTACTGATCAAAGAGGGATCTGGACTCTCTTTAGCGATTTCTATTCCAGTTTTGCAGACAAAATATTACTGAACAAAACAGTAACCACGATCGAGTACGATGACAATGGTGTGGAGGTCGCCACAGCTGGAGGTGAAACCTTTACTGCAGACTACGCTTTGTGTACATTTGGTAGTGGTGTTTTGAACCGTGGCTCAGTACAATTCAACCCTCCACTGCCTGGATGGAAGAAAGAAGCAATTTATCGCCTGAGGCCTGTTTACTACACAAAAATCTTCCTCAAGTTCCCAAGCGAATTCTGGGGTGATAGCGAGTGGACATTACATGTTTCAAGCCAAAACACAGGACATTTCCCAGTATTTTTCGATCTGGATCGTGCTGGGTTCTTTCCTGGCTCCAATTCTTTGTATACTGTAGTAACTGGAGATGAATCTCTAAGAGTGGAAGCACAAGAGGATTCCAAAACGATGGAAGAGCTCATGGAAGTTCTGCGCAACATGTATGGACCCAGCATACCAAATGCCACAGGTACTGAAAGACGCGTCCAATTAGACCCTAATTTGCCGTCTAATAGGCACTTTTCGTGAAATAAGAAGCGACTTAGCTAGGAACGTGTCATCTAACAACAGCCCTTAACACCTGTTGTAAGATAAGAAGAGAAAGACTTCGTATAAATGACTTTTGCGTCTTATGTAAGACTCGAACTTATAGTACGCATGCGTTACTTTAAGATTGAGCGGTAAAAAAGGTCCCTTCCTTAAAAATCCAATTTACGAACGTCTTTCACTTTTCTAGGTCTTCGAACGTTATGTGTAAGCCTGAATAGATTTATGTCAGTCAACTTTCAAACTATTTTTTTTTTTTGTTTCCTTCCTCTATAAGAAATTGTAGTAAGCAAGTGGACGCAAAACCCATACGTCTTGGGTTGCTGGACAGACCCAGTCATTGGCACAGATTCCTCCGTGTTTGCCAACATGGCCGGTCGAGTTGAAAACTTGTTCTTCGCTGGTGAGGCTACTCAAGGCGATTGGTATGGCTACATACAGGGGGGTTATTACAGTGGACTGGAGCGAGCGAATGACATTGCTAGTTGTATTCAAGGCAGGAAGTGCCAACCTTATGAGCCAGCCACAGGCCTACCCGTAATCGTTAAAACAAAGGACTGCGTGAAGAGCAAAGCGTCAAAGATGGCAGTGCTGGATCTCATCAGTTTGTTTCTTGGGCTTTTCATTTTTTGCTGTTTGTAGTTTCTTTCAGCCGCATTTTTGCCTATATAGCCTGGCACTTTTAATTCTGAAGACCGGAAATACCCCACCTCACATATATTTTTTGTGCGCAATTAGCTTTTGTATCATTTTTTGTAAAAACTGTTTCCTAATTGTGTTTCCTTCCCTGTATTAACTTATTACTCTATTGTATTACACGATTACAGCAGTGACAACCCTCCATCTTGTTCGACCATAAAGTCCTTTCCAAAGACAGAAAGGTCCACGAAATAAGTAAGGTTTATAGCACGTTTTTCAGGTGTTTGGATGACTTCAACAGATCTCAAATAAAGTTTCCATTTGCTTGCTTGCACTTCCGATGCACTAAGCTGACTTGCTGAAAGATCCTTATTGTCGTTCCTTATTGTCTGCGCTAGAATTTCATTTCTATCGTTGTCTGTTCATTTCTGCAGAAAAACAAAAGTTTCATTTCACTTTTATTCATAATAATTATCTTAAAACTTTTTTTTCTTGCTTATAACAGGGACCACCGAGCAAGGTTGAGAGTTAAGGGCTAATTCGAAGCTGTAAGGGGGATCCGTCCGGCCTCCTTCCGTCCTTCTGTCCATAATAATTGTCTCAGACTGTTTCTTTGCGTATTGTAAGGACCACGGAGCAACGCGGGGGTTTAATTCGAACTTGAAAAAGCGAGCATGTAGGAAGGTCCGGTGTATGCTTCCTCGAAAAAAAAATGAAATCAGTTAGGTTTCCTGATTCAAATGGTGATAGCGACCAGCAGCACTGATGGAAGAAAGCAAGAAGAGTCATACAAAAACTGAGAAAATGAAAAGAACAAAGAGAAAAGTGCAAAGTTTACAAAGTGGTTAGCGTGTGAACGAAACTGGAATTGGAACAGAAGTAACTTTAATAAGTTATGAATCTGATGACCCAAAATAAATCCAGGTAAAACACCCTTTTTGTGCCCATCTAAAAAAAGGGGAGGGCTAAAGCTTCCCCTTTCCAGCCCCTCCCTCTCGGCGGTCCTTGCTTTAGCTAATTGAGACATATTGTCAAACTCAGTCTGGACGTTGTATCTGGGGTTTGCCGTTTGTCGTAAACGTGATCGTCTCTAAAAGTAAAACTCTCTACGTGAAAAACTGTGGCAAGAAGATAATTTTTCGGTGAAGTAATTTTTTCAACGGCCATCGGTTGAAAATTTTCACGACTAAAACTAGAACTATACTTTTTATGTAAAACCCCATTCAGGCCTCCTTGAAATAAAGAATTCTACTTATCTGAGCGTCGGAGCATTATAGCCCCATGCTTTTGCCCTGGCGAGGAAAGCCGAAGGAAATTCAAATACATACTTATGGAAGAGGTTCAAAGCCTTAAATTCCATTTCCGGGAGCCGGTGTAATAAATTCCTTACTGACTATTTTTAAACAAACATTCATTTAATTTCATTCATCTCATCCTGCCTGAAAACTTCTCCTTGGAATAACTACTCCCAGTATGGATGTATGGTTAAAAGTAATTAGTAAAATCCAAATAGTGGTCTATTATCAATGCTGCGTTCTGACTGGTTTAGCTACTACTAGGCTATATGTTATAGCCCAGTAGTAGCGAAAAGCACCGGCTTTGAAAACCAAAACAATGGCGGCTGAATCGCGTTTTGCTAGCTAAAGTTGTTTTGTCTCGATATTTTTGACCATCTAGTTGGATTTTACTAAAACAATTATTCCTCTCGCCCTCATGTCCCCTGAGTCAATAGCCCATTCGGCCTTCGGCCACATGAGCCATTGACACAGAGCCCATTCGGGCTCGAGGAATAAGTGAAATGCTATATTTTACTCCATTTATATATATAACTTCTAAATATTACAGTTGTGTCTATTAAAAAATATCTTATACGTAAAGAAGGCTTGTTGTGTGATATATTGTAATTAAGCTCTAACGGCGGCTAAAGTCGTTTATTAAAGGATCTTTAGTCGTCTGAGCACGTTAAAGTCGTCTTAGTATAAAAACGGTTAATAATTTAACGCATTTAACGCCTGATGACTTGAAAGTGTTCTATTAAGTGCGTCTGTCAGACACACTTTACGGACGATTTTAACCTCTCGGACATTACAGACGTTAAATATGACTAGTATAAAAACGGAATACTCGTAAACTGGTGTGCCCAACGCGTCCAAAAACGACTGGTAAGAATCAGTGTTTAGTCTTTTTTCAGAAACTTTTTTTGCCAATGTTGTCGTCCACTTTTAAGGGCTCCGGTTTTACACTAGCTGTGGGCTCAGTTGTTTGAAGGTCGATTAGGGCTTAACCCGGGTTTCTTTTTCTTGTGTTCAAAAGCATTTTCTCCGACAATTTTCTGTGCTATTTTTAGAGCTTCCAATCATCAACTTGTAGACAAAAAGAATTAAAACTGAAATGCTTTCTAAGCTTTCAAAACTGAATTCAAATCTTGCACTAACCCTGGGTTATGTTAACCCAGCGTTGACCAGCTCGACCCAGAGTCGAAGGTGAGTTGCCTGTGCAATACCAAAGTAAACAATATCAGGTAAAAACGTTTAACCTGACCAAAATAGTCATGATTCAAATAAAAGCCAACTAGCCACCTTATATACGAGAGACTGATATGGAGTTCGGCTAAAATTTCAATGCGGTACTTTTCAAATACGGCTTGGACATTTTAATGACGAATAATTAGCATCAGTATTTGATCGGACAGGGTAAGCAAAATGGTGGAAGTTGTCATAGATATGTGACATACAAGTGATATACATATGTCATACGGCTGAGAAAAGGGTCCAAGTGTGCTCGTGAATAGATTAGCGCAATCAACAACTAATAAGGAAACTCAGTAGTTCCCAGACATTAATACTTACAACGCACAAAACTCTCATTTTGCCTCAGAAAAATTTTGCTTCTATCAGTTAGATTACGTTTGGCAAACTCATTTTCTTGGACGCGCCTTTCATTCCCGTTTATTTGACTTGTTGATGGTTTGTAAGTGTTTGTCCCAAGTATTAATTAAGGCGTCCTAAGCTTGGTCTTTTAATTAATTCTCTGGGACTAAATAGGAATAAAACCATAGGAAATAGAGGAAATATTTTTCGAGTTGGTCTCTTTTGGGATGTAATAATGGAACACAGTTGCCGAACCTCTTTAAGCCACCTTGGAGACAGAAGAAAGTGGCCGTTGTAAACAAGAGTGAATGTATGGACTGCTCGTAAAAAAAAAAAATAATAATAGCCGTTGTAGTGTGGTGGCCGTTTGTAACAGAAATTTTTCTGTTGAAATAATGGAAAAATGCCCTTTTGGGGGTGAAATAATGGGACAACGAAAATTTTTGAGACGGGAAACTGAAAAAAAATTCCTCTTCATCGCCCCGATTCTGTAAGTACATTTAGTTCGTTTAATATACTGAACGAAAGGGTTTTGAGACTTCAAGCTGCCAGGGGCCGAATTCCGATTAACTGTGGATTTACCGGCTGTCAACTTAAATTACGAAATTCTGTCTTAATTTTCACGTTTTGTGCAGGATATGAATTAAGCCGTTGTTCTTTTTTCTAGGTTACTCACTGACGGCTGTCACTCTCGAAACAGATGCCGTTTAAAATAACTTTTTACGTATTGCGGAGTTTTTATAAGTGCTAATTTTGCATGTTATTTTCTCTGTAGATTAAAATTATTTTCCGCCACAAACTTGAGTCGGTATATACTTCAAATCCATGGCAACTTCAGCCGTTAATAAATAACAGAAGGTAGTATTACGAGTACGTTTTTTCTGTCCCTGTAAATCGGCTCAGTCAAGCCGCTATGGAATCAACTGCCCGGTCACACCTTCGAGTTTGTATATTGTTTTTTTTATTGGTCTACTAAATTATATTCGCCCTGATTTTACATGTTTAAGAGCCACAAAAAAGCCACTAATGAAATGATGATATTGGCACAAATCCACTTCTCTTGAAAATCATGGGAACAGCAATTAGCTAAGAAAGCCTAAGACATTGTGCTACTTTTGTTCGGAAAGTAATTTTTCAAATGATTCAGTCATTTATATGCTATTTCATTAGGCACTGATCCGTTGTTCAATGTTGGGTAAACAAGAACTTTGAAGGACTTTATCTGATCGTAGTCTTAACTTTTGCCCTTTTGAGGGATTTTTTAGTGACTGTAATTGATTTATTGGGGATGTGAGGTCATAGTGACGTAAGCGGAGGGCTGTTGATGTTGGATTTGTGTCGGGTTTCCGCACATGCATTGGTGTTGTCAAAAGATTCAATGGGTTTTATTTAACAAACAGTGCGGTGCTCTCATTGTTAAAATAATATTGTACACAACCTTCTTCATGTCGTAGCATTTTATCACTCGTATGGTTTCAGCCTCGGTGGAAGATAACTAACTGGATTTCTTCTGGAATACCGAACATATTAGTGCAATAACTTCGTTTCAGTTTCAAGTGTCTGGTTTTGAGCGCACAATTTTATTTTACAAGCTAGTGGATTTGATCGGTGGCGCTTGTTTTTGCAGAGTTGTATTTTCTTCGTCCGTAACAATATGAAGAACAAATTCCTCCTTATTTTTCTACTTATTTCAAGCTGCGATGTCAACAATGGGGTTGAAATGGAATTCAAGTGTAAGTAAAACTAAGTTTAGCCTAAATGATTTTCAGCGAACCTCTTCAGCGGAAGCATGTCGAAGATCGTAGTCGATAATTTTACCACAACTGAAATTTGTTCATTGTGCTTTAACAACTCTTTCATTCTTTTCTTGAATTCGTAGTATGTAAGCTTGAGCAATCGCCGTTTTTTCCTTCAACGTCGAATTCAGCTTTGGCTGTGAAACTAACTAGAGAGATATGCCAAGGTTGTGAAAAGTTGGAAAATTGCACAACATTCGAAGGGAGCATTCAAATACAAATCGTGAGAGACGCACGTCCAGAGGTAATGAGTCAGCTTCGCTTTCCCAAGCTTACAGAAATTACGGGTTATTTGCTGGTTTCATTAGTGTACGGCGAGCGGAGTTTAAAAGAAATGTTTCCCAACCTTGCTGTCATCAGAGGAAAGGAGCTTTTTCTCGATTATTCTCTCGTCATCTACGAGAATGACGGACTGCGAGAAATCAACCTCCCTTCTCTTACTTCTATTTTGGATGGAGGTGTACGCATCGAGAAGAATATAAATCTTTGCTACGTTAAAACAATACGATGGGAGTCTATTATGAACAGCAATAATTCCTTGGCTTTGGGCACGAACAATAATGACTGCTACGATACATGCTTTGGAGGGAAATGCAAGCCCCCAGCTGGTCATGGCCGTTCGACAAGACAATATTGTTGGGCACCAGGAAAGGATGCACAAAACGCTGATTGTCAGCCTTGTAAGTGTCATTTTTGATTCCTTGTACATATCTTTGTTGTGACATATAATTTTGTTGTTGTTAATGATTATTATACAATTACCGTAAACCTTTTTAATGGACACTTCTGCCGGGACGGGGAATACTTGAGCCCGGAGCTGGCTCACTTTGCATTACATACAGTTACATTTGCATTTATGAGTTTTATTCCTTTATTACATGAAGCCGGTCTATTAAATGAAACCTGATTTGTTGCAAGACAGGTTTGATTCGTGGGTGGTAAAATGTGCAACATCATCACTATTCAACTTGTTTTGCAGCAGTGATGCAAAATGAGTAACCTGCGATCAGGTGTTCTTCCCCTTTTGTTTGGAAGATGAGGGGAAAAGGATGCCTGATATATTTACTTTGCGCGTTGTCTTCCCATAGACCAGAATCTGGACTTTTGTCTGATTAGTCAAAAACAAAAGATCCTTTGGAGCCCTGCACTGATTGGTCAAGGAACATATCTGACTTCCGGAGTTATTACAGGGTTCGAAATTAACTTTTTCGTTCGGGAGCCTGCTGGGGACTAACAGAAAACTTTTGGTTGCCAGATTGCAAATTTTGGTCGGCAACCTATTTTATACATAACTTACACAAGACCACGATTTTATACGTTACTTTGCATGCAAGAAAAGTCACAACTGAAGAGCGAAAACAATTAGAAACAACACGAATAACTCTTAGTTATAAAGCTACCGTTGTTCTCAGGTGATATGTCTCTGGTCCGAAGGTGATGGTTGTCTCCATAGTCATTTTAAATGAAGCGAAGCATAAAACGTTTTAAGTCCGTGGTTTTCATTCTGAGACAAACACGGGTCCTTGCGTATTTGCCCTTTGCTACTTCTACAAAATGCCGCTCTTTATTTTTGACTTGCTTTCCTCTACGCCTTTTGCTGCTGACAAACAATGCCATGCTTGGCCCAGGCCTCTGCACAACCACATTGCTCATACCAGCCTCCGACCGGGAGGAAACAAAAATGGGCTTAGTGCAGTTTTTAGGTCTTCGTTTCATTTGAGACAGAACGTTTTCGGAAAATAAAACCTAAAATATTGTGGGACTTACGGAAGCACCGCTTGAATTGAATCGCTATCTCCTTACCTTAAAGTATAAAGAAACGTTGTTAAGAACTATTCACTCAGGTACTTTTTCTAGTAGTGATAGTTTGGATAATTTTTAACCTTTTGGCTGAATCTTCATTCCCACTCGTAAAAACTCACGTAATTCCTTCAACTGATTTGTATCTGCAGCCATTTTCGCGGCAAATGAAAAGCACACGGTGTTGAAGTGCGCCTACGATCCCAGTTTTGGAAGAAGCAGCTGAAACAATATGGCGCGCCGTGAATGTAGTATCGACGTGTCAAAATATATTCAATTTATTCGATTATCTTATAATATTCAGACATCATTTTACTGGGGACGGAAAGGGGAGTTGTCTACTAGCTACCATATTCGATTGATTTCCTAATATAAAGATTTAAAAGCAAAAGTTGTGTTGTGGTTTTCTTTAGTCGTTGGACAAAACGCGAGTCACCAGCTGGCAACCAGTCCTGAAAATTTAGTTGCCAGTGCTTAATTTTTGGTTGCATTGGCGACCAGTGAGTCGCAATTTCAAGCCCTGTATTAGGTAGGTTTTGTCACCCTCATCTCTTCATGACAGAAACCACAAGATGATGAAGGAATTCTATGAACAGCAAGCTTATGTTTTAAAGCTACAGTCACTGGCTTAATTGTTGAGACATACTCAAATAGGGTAACTTCAGAGAACAAAAGAATCCACACCCCTCTCTGTCCCCTCCATTCAAAGTGGGAGTGTCTGTTGTTTTCTAAAGGTAGCTTGAACAGTGACACAACATTGCATGGAGGGGATGTTGGAGGAAAAGCTATATTTTACCCTTTTGAAGTCAGGAAAATGTCAAAAAGCCCCTTTAGGGCGAAGTGTCTCAACTCATTTTGTTGGCGATTGTAGTTCTTAAAAGAAAAAAAATCAATACTTTTTTAATGAATCAAGTCAACAATGAACAGAGAAAAATCTTGACGGCTGAGATAAGGACGAGTTGATATTTGTCAGCGGTAAGGATATCTGCCATTTCTTCTTCCATGCTTTCTTGCTCGTAAAAGGCAAAATTGTTGTCCTCTATTTCTGATCGAGGTCAACTGAAGCGTCAACTGAAGTGTGAAATTGTGTAAAAAATAATTATTGATGATTTTAAACCCACACTTTTGTGAACTGATGAAAGACCATGAAAGATTTTTTGCGCAGAATTAATAATTACTATACTTTTGACCACTTCCAGTAAAGTACAGAATTGCATTGATCCCCTGTTGTTTCCAATAAATTATTAATTTGTTCGACTTGATGGTTCTTGCTGTTCTAACAAGACCCATTTTGTAGGAAAATGAAGTGAAACTAAAATAGTTGGTTAGGAGCCCCGTGAAAGTTTTCTTACGGAAAGAGGGTTGTTATTGACCAAGACATCCAAGAAAGCTAACTTGTTCTCATAACTTTTTGTGTCATAACCATTGTAATTATTTCAATTTTTACAATTTTCTTCCTTGTATTAAGTGTAGTGCTCGCGCAAGTGTCATTCCATGTCTCGTGCATCTTAAAATTGTACGTTAATTTTTCGAAATTTTGAATTGTTTCATGTTTTAACTTATACGTCATCCCTTGTATTAATTCAACCGAACTTGCAAACAAATTCACAACTGAAGATGATTGTTGAACGATCAAAACATGTCTTGTTTTAAACTTAAAGTTGTTGTCCATTTTTTAAAAATAGTTACTTGCCTGCTATTATCCAGATAATTTGAACTATTTTCCAGTTCCAAAGGTCTTGAATTTGACCAAAAAAATGCAAAAAATTCAAATGCTGCACCTAATCGCATAAGAACAAAGCCATTAATGTCCTTGTCTGTATTTGACTGTTGTAAATTCCAGTTTTCCTTACCTTTGCACTGCTGTCCCAGTTTCGGTGGTGGATGAAACACTGACACCCAGTCCATGGACAACCCCCATGGACTACCCATATGGACTACTGCTGCTGAAGTTTAATGGTTAGGGTTAGCAACTGAGTGAATCAAGTTTTAGGTCACTTTTCCCAAGATATAGCCCCTATTAAAAAAAATGGAACCTTATTCACTCAATTTCCTAACCCTAATCACTAAACTTGAGCGGGCTAGTCCATTTTAGGGTAGTCCATATTGGTAGTCCATGGACTGGGGGTCAGTTTTTTGTCTACCACCCCCAATTTCAGCTCATCTTTGTTGGTCACCTTATTATAAACTTCCTCAGAGCAATAATGGACATTAGTGTATCTTTTCGGTTATAAGGCGCAATCCAAACTTTTCAAGACAATTTTTCTAAGTTAGGAAACTGAAAATTAAGTCAAAATATCCGGCTATAAGGTGCAGCTGCGATTTTTGGCGATGTGCCTAATGATCCGAATTCTTCACGGTCTGTACGGCTACTATTGCGGCCCTTTAAACCAACGAAGCTACTGCACCCATGTGAACAAAAGCGAAAAAGGTTTATACATATTTTATTTTGATCAAAAGTGAAAAAATCATACCTGGCAATCAACACAAAAAGCATTGTTTTCTAAAGCTGGTAAATGTTTTTCTTGTAAATATTTTTTATATAGGATCTTTCAATGTCTTTCAATATCACCAGATGTTTTATAATGAGTATTCCAAAGGAATGATATTAAACTCTTAAATTATATAGAATGCAAATTAATGCCTTTCTGCATCATCATAATGATCCAGGACCGAGTTGTTCAAAGCTGGGTTAACATAACCCGGGTTAGTGCTAGATTTGAATTCTGATACGAAAGCTTAAAAAGTAAATTAATAATTCACTTGAATGTTTTTTGTCAACAAGTTGATGATTGGATGCTCTTAAAATTAACAGAGAAAATTATCCGAGAAAATGCTTTTGAACAAAAGAAAAAGAAGCCTGGGTTAAGTTTAACCCTGGGTTATGAGCTAATTGGCCTTCAAACAACTGGGCCTGGATAATAATAATGCAAAATTTATTTAGCCCCATTTCGATTCTGTGAGTTCATTAACTTATAATTAAACTTTCGTCTTTGGATGGCCTTTTTCTAGCTAAAGTAGAAATATGTTTGAATGCACACTGTAGTCTCTATGTTGTGCACCGTCCATATTTTCAGAAAGAATTTTGTAACATCAGTATCACATAGCATGCTATTGAGTTTCTCTCTTAACCTTGACCTGGGAGTAGGTTGATCCAATTAAAGGGGATGCAGACTTCATACAACTGAAGAAATGCTGGCAATGTCAATGGAAAAAAAAATGCACGGACCTTGAAAATTCTCCACTCCTTTCATAACTTTTTAATGGCCTAACTCTTAAATCTTTTTTGGATGGGTGCCAGATATTACATTATTTTATTTTATTGTATTTTATTCTCTGATAGTACGATGATATACCTTTAGTAATATTATAAACAGCAACATACAGTATGTCACTCTGTTATTTCCTCACAGTACTTTTCTCACCTTTTTTTGCACTTTCTAGTCTGCAATAAGGTAAAGTGTGGTGATCGAGGCTGTTTAAAGGGAGACACAAATGTTGAGCAATGTTGTAATGAGGAATGCCTTGGAGGATGCTTCCAGTTGAACTCTGCTCATCACTGCTACGCCTGTAGGCATCTACGTCAAATGTCAGATGGTAAATGCGTTAAAAAGTGTGAGGGTCATCTATATGAGGTAAAGTACTTAATTGTTGCTGGTGAACTTATCAGAGGAGCCTGCAATCCTTAAATCTCCAGGTCTGCTATTACACATGCATGGCACCTTTGTAGCCTCCAGCTTTCACTTGGACTTCCACTAAGAATGTATGAAATGCATTGAACACAATTTGATAAAGTGTGTTTAGACCTTCTGTCACTATTAATCTGATCACCTGAAAATAATTACACAAAGCACAGCATTGGAGCAAACATGTTTTAACCTTTGCATCGATCTTGCCCCTACTCATAACCTTTGGATATTAATATGTAAAATACAAAGTATTAAATAGAACAATCAGTGACAAAATTAGTTGACACACTTTGACCAAAACGAAATGCATTACAGAAATGTTTTAAACTCCTAATAAAAATAGTTCAAAACTCTTTTCCTTATTGTATTGATTGTCACATTAGGCCTGTGGGGAACTTTGAAATGGGAACTTTTAAATTTGGGAAATTCAAATTGAATATTTAAAACTAACCTTGGAGAGGTTCAGTCAACTGTATTAAGAAAGTGATTTTTTTCTTTTTAGATTGATGGGTTCAAATGTGTAGAAAGTTGCCCACGTAATTATTTAAAACTTGAAATTCCTCATGAAAGTAAGAAATGTGTCAAAGTTTGTCCTGCTGGATATCAGAAAGATACAAGTACAAGTTCACAACGTTCCTCTTTTCCTCCGAGTAAAAGTTCAGAGTGCATCAAGTGTGAAACAGTGAAGTGCCCAAGAGGTATGTGGTTGAATTAAAGTCAAACCTTTCTCCTGGTGGAAGAACTGCCATTTAAAATACAGTCAACTCTCTCATATAAGCGACCACCCTCAGTACACAACAAAGTGGTTGCTTATGGGAGGTGGTCGTCTGTGAGAAAAATCAAGATAATAAGCTCAAACTGAAATGATTAACATAATTTATATATATTTAACATAATTATATTTTTTATATATATTTAACATAATTAAAATAATTAACATAATTTATATAAATTTAAGTTATAATAATAATAATAATAATAATAATAATAATAATAATAATAACATGAATATTTATACAGGATAACCTATCAGTTCTTATAAAAGAACTGATAGGTTACCCTGTATAAATATTCGTGTCATTATTATTATTATTTTTATTTAAGTTATAAAACTCACTAGCTAAAACTTAGGCAATTAGACAACTGGCTAAGGTCTTTACATCCAATAGGGCTTGGAACTGTTGAAGCTTTGTACGTAACATTTTGCATCAATGTTACAATCCACTTTTTTAATTACAGTTCATATAATGCAGCTATATATCTTTTTTGTGAGATATAATTTGTGAGCATGTTTGGTCAATGCTATCAAAAACTGGTTTTTGCGACATTCAAGCAATGGTTTTTTTACAATCATACCTGATCATGTCTGGTGGCCACTTATGAGAAACAGAAAACAAAAGAATATAATTTTATGTTGAATTTCTGGTTAAACAAGTGGTCGCAGCCGTTAAGAAATTTAAGTCTTGGTTTCCTAGGAGAGAGTTTTTGAAATAGTATTTGACTCAGAAACAGAACGGTTTTACAGGTCACCATGGTACAGTAAATAAACAAGACTAATTGTTTCCTAGCCCTAATCACAAGCTGAAATAGAGTTTTACCCTAAGGGGAAACAGCCTATCTCAGTTATTTACCAATAGAACAGTGACCTACACTTGTGGCCCCCCTTTAGGGATTTAATTCCAGAATATCCCCCTGCCTTTCATATAGAGGATCCTCCCCTCTCTGAACCTTTTGTGAGTAAATATTTTATGTTACTGTTGGTACGTGCAAAACACCAGGGCCCAGCTGTTCGAATGTTGGTTAGCGCTAACCCGGGATGAAATTTTAACCCGGGTTTCTTTTTCTTTTTATCAAAAGCACTCTCTAGGATAGTTTTCTCTATATTTCTTTTTAGAGTATCCAATCATCAAATTGTAGGCAAAGAAAATTAAACTGAATTTGCTTTTTAAGCTCTCATGTCTGAGTTCAAATTTCACACTAACCCTGGGTTATCTTAATCATTTTTTTCTACACACTTTGTATAATGTATTAAGATTTAATCGAAACTGAACATGTCCATAAGTCTTTGGTTCTGTGATTCCAATGTGTTTTTAGGGTTTGAAACAAACTGAAAAATCATAACTCAGCTCCATCAAATTAAGTTAAGCAAAAAAAGTTTTCTCACTTTCATTACTACTGTATTATTTTTGATTCTGCATTTAGTTTGCAAGACTAGTGAGACAATTGAGGGACTGGGGTCGTTGGCCAAATACAAAGGATGTACTGAAATTGATGGCAACTTGCTGATTACCATCAGAGGAAGCGGTGTCTCAGGTAAGCCTTATATCTACTGTAGTTTAACACATAAATACAGTAACATTAATGCCTCAATAGGCCATTTTACAGTTGTGGGCTTGTAATTAGTGTCCTAGCCTTTGAGTGAATGTGAGGTTGAGGTTGACCTTGTTTTGATACAAACCTCCATCCTTTTCTAATGTAATTTTTGCTTAAAAAATACTAGTTAGCATAAGAAAGACATGATTTACAGTAAAGCAGGAAGTGTTGTATCAAAACAAGGTCAACTCCAGCCTCGTTTTCACCTGTAACTGTAAAATAGGTTTATTGCCTGTAACTGCCCATATCAAAGCATGTCACCTGTACTACTTGTGATGTCATAAGTAAACCAACTCTGACGTAAAAACCTGTGCAGGGATAAGAGATCTTTCCTATAATACCTCTCAATAGAGTCTTAGTTACTAAAGGAAGGCATAGCTAAAATGTTCTAAAATGACCTAAAAGGAGCTACAACGGTATCATGAATGACCTAATAAATGACTTGGGAGAAGCTACAACAGTATCTAAAATATATGTAGATATCTCAAATCACTTATAAAATTATCTGAAGGCAAAATGATACAAATAATTTTGCTGATCTCGTATTTGGTTTCGAAACAATGAAACAGAACGTTAACGTTCATGCTAACTATTGTGGACAGTTGTCGTACACACTCCTTAGTTTTACCTTTGAAGGTTTTCTAAACAACTTAATAACTTTACGCTGAAAAAGAGCGGGGCTAGCATGTTCCGTTAGTCCTGTTGTCATGCGGCGTGCACGGAGATGATGGCATAGAAAAATTTAGTTCGCCTAACAAACCAGTTTTGGTTGGTGCAGAATAAGTCAGGGTTCGTACAGGTCATGGAAAACCTGGAAAGTTATGGAATTTAAGCATTTTGTTTTCCAGGCCTGGAAAGTCATGGAATTGAATTATTGGTTCTGGAATGTCATGGAAAATTAAAGTTTTGTGTGATAGATAAGATACCGCAGATGATAAGGCAATGACAGTGTAAGATAAAGAGGAGTAATGAACCAGCGCAAACGGCACACATTGTGGTGGACACCAGAGTTTGGGTCTGTTGAACTGTTTAAGGTTCAAAGATACCCCCCAAAAAGGAAAGTTTTTAAATCTTTTGAAAGTGAAAACCTCTAAATTTAATCTTTCCTAAGCTTTCTTCGCAAAACATGCGTGGCTTCAAACACGCAACGATTCTTAGTCCCAGTTTCCACAGTCTCCTTTAGGAACGCCTGGCACAGTGAACCCCCATTTCTGTACAAAACACTACGAAAAACGCGTCCCGCTGCTGACGCAAGCGAGACTAATAAGTTCATGATCCTCGATACTTTTGCCAAAACGTTTCTCTCTGAAATGAAGCTTAGCAACTGTCCAACATTTAATCTGCTGAATACAGATGCGCGTCTTTTTACTACTACGACCAGAATTCTTTTCGTTTTTCTTTTCATATTTAAATTTGGTAGCCCCAGTGAGGTTTAAATAACGAAAGCCCTAATTTGCACAAGAAAGCAAAACCCTGAAGGATCCTGGTCATAATAGTAAAATGATGCCTTCATGCAAATGGCCTATTCAAACGTTTTCAACATCTTTTGGAACGTGTATCTGTTTGCGTGAATGAAGCATCTGTTATATGAAGAATTGTGTAGCCTGGTTCCTTGAGTGTAAAGCATAAATTATCCTCAACAGATATTCTACAACTAAAATCTCACATTGGTAAGCCTTTTACAACGAGGGAGGGTTTAAAACAAATGAAAGATGTCAAGAAATGTGCAAACAATCCGCCATGTTTCAGGGGCACCCAACAATGGTTTCCTCCTAAATACATTGAAAACACTTTTAAGGCTATCCAGAGTACTTTTAGATCTCCAGAAATGCATTTTAAGAGGCGCTATAAAATTTGTATCTGTTCGGTCATCCTAGGGGAACTTGAGTCTTTTCGAAATTGCAAGGGCTTGAGTATTATTTTCCCGAAAATTTTAGATGAAATTTTATGTAGTACGAAAGTGAGACATTTTCTGATTCCTCTTGCCATCAGATTTTTGAATCCCAAAATTTTGGGTTGCCTTTTTTCTACGAAAAATAACCTAACTTGGGAAGTAAAATGTGAAAATTAAACTTCAGAAAATCTTGGGGAATTTATAAGGTAAGCTTGGAAAATTGTACATGAATCAGTGGAACGGTCATCTAGAAATTACTAGCCATCCTCAAGTGATAGAAAATGTTAGGCAATATTCTCCGAACAAATATTTTACGGAAAACAGTCGTTGGGTGCCCATGATGTTTGGTCAAACTGTGCTTTGAAACATTTGCCTGGTTACAAAGCACGGAAGAACGCAACGCGCGAACTGATGTGGTTTTGATTGAAAGACGATTTGTGTGATCATTTCATACATAATGGGATGAAGGCATGAGGAAAGATTGGTAGCAGCGAAAAACTCGTACAACAACTTTACGTTTGCCTGGAGAAAGTCACATTTTTTCGAAATTGTTAAGTTTTACAGCAGTTACAAGTCTTGTAACGAATGGGTTTAGGCTTATAACCGGGTGTTTTGGATTTATCTTTCGTTCTTGGTTATGCTAATTCTACGAGTTTAAAGTTTAGGGTCTCGGCTTATTGTCGAATGAGTACGATAAAAGTGCAGCTCAAAACATTAAAACATGCGAAAAGACTGATAGGGAACTAAAATTAGAAAAATAGTTTTCAATATTGTTTATATTCTAAGAGCCTGCCTAAAATGATACCCAGATACAGCTATATTGTTTACATGTCGATCTGTACATAGTAACCAGTTTACTGAATGTTTTATGTTTTCTAGGTATTGGAAGAAAGCTTGAAGAAAATCTGGGAAAAATTGAAAAAGTAAAAGGCTACATTGTGATCCGAGAGTGCAGCTCTGTTACATCTTTAAACTTTCTCAAGAGCCTGAAAGAAATCGAGCCTGAAGAAGGGATTTTTACAAAGAAGGCAATATTATACAATGATAGGTTTGTGAAGAGTGACAATCATTTAATGTGTTTAAAGTGAAGTACTGTAAATGGTCAAAACATTGTCCTCCTTTAAATAAGATCCTCCTACGAATTCTCGAATTCGCCCCATTCGGGAAGGGGGGCACTCAAGGGAAGTCTGGGTAGAGGGGTGCCGCCGAGGCCCGTAATCCCCGACCCTGTTTAAGACAAAAACTTCTCAACTACCCTGTTTAAGGCAGGAGACACAACTTTCCGACCCTGATTTGCTTTGTTTTGCATACAGAATTAGTTAATTTTTCACACTAAAATCGTGGAAATAGATATTTAGGAAAAAGTTATTGGTATTGCAAATGTAGGCCGTTCATCGCAAGTCTTCACACTCTTTGAAAGGCTTCCAGTCCAAAAAAACACCATGTTCAAGACGCTTAATAGTGAAATAGTATACCCTGTTAAAGACTCAAGACCTTGAAAACCATACCCTGTTTAGCGGCACATACCTGCGTAGGCCAAATAAGGGAGTGCCCTACCTAGGGAATCAGCACCCCGTCCTGTCTATAAATAAATATTATCAGTAGAAAAGCACCCCCCATCCCTCCACAAAGAAGAAGACCATCACCGGATATACAGAATAGAAGTGGACTGAAAGAAATAGAAGCGACCACACACAGGTTTGAATTCGTTTCTTCTCACTCCCCAGATACATGTCTGTCTGGATTTGCTAAAAGGTACCTCCAGGAATTTTTCACAACATTCTCATTTGAGGCTTGTTTACTTTACTATTTTTCTTTGTTATGACAATTTGAGTACACAAATCGGAATCCTCTAACAGGCTGCAGTAGACAACAACAACAACAACAATGTATTTATTTAAAGAAATATAAGGTTACAATACTTTATGTCCTGCAAATAGCTATGCTAATCTATCCAGGACAAGACTTTATTTAAAGTCGTTATTAAATTACATAAGAAAGAAGAAAAGAAAAAAAGTACTTTAAGTTCAAGTACTTTAGTTTAAGGTTTTCCTTTTGTAGATTTTTAACTTGACTCATTTAAGTTTACGATATAAGGCATTGGTACGTTTTGAGTTTTAAACCGGCATGTGCGGAGCGCCCGCCGACATGACCGATTCGTGAGCTAATGATGCCGCTTTATACATCTTTCCCTCCCCTCATCTCCTATCGCGATCATTTCCCAAAATTCTGTCCGTGTGATTAAACAATCCTATTTGAAATCAGCGCGCACGATAGATTTTTTTTTTATGGTCGGTTGATTTTCTAGATTTCTTTTTGGCTGCCTGGAGCAAAGTTTTCCGGAAGGCATCATTAAGCCTTATGAAGGAGCAAGTCTCCTGACGATTGGTAAAGTCTGCCGTCGTCCAATAGGTTACCGTATTTCGTCTCATTTTGGCTAAATGGGTGAAACACTGATCTTGGGCTTGAGACGGAAAGGCATCATATTGCGAGCTTTGATGTGCGAGTCAAAAAGTAGTTTGTAGGAGTGAAATCTATTCGACGAGAGCAAAATTGATGCTGATTTCCTACCAGGCGGCCAGTCCTGTATGTGTTCCGTTCAAAACGGCTCGTGTACATGCGGGATCTTGAATAAATCGACTTTGTCAGGAATGTTTGCATACGTATGATGATTTATGTGGAGAAAGCGTGAGTTATTGAGGGAGAGTAATTTGATGATATTTCGCCCGTATTAAGTGTGGAAACATTGTGCTTGGTTGGTTGTGGATAGTTTTATCTTTGCCGGGAAAGTGGTTAATTGTGTGATTTCCTTGCAGTTGTTGACAGACAGAATTCAGGTATTTCGTTGTGCTCGTGTTACAAGGATATTGTGTACAAGCATAAAAACGCGGAGGGTTGTAATTTGCAGGTTGCAGGTTGCAGGTCACAATTTGAAGTATGCGCGAACGTTCAACGCTAAGCTGATTTTGAGGGAAAAAACTGTCTTTACAGTGTCACGCAAAACCGGAAATATCTTTAGTCCCAGGAAATTGTTTGTTTGGAGTTAGATTTTGCAGCCCGGAGCCCTATAGATCAAAATTTCGCAGCTTCACACTTTTAAAAATAACAGCGAATGGTAAAAAACCGGATGTGAAATTGTGGTTAATGATCTAAATCCCACGTGCCAGCTATCCACGGCGTCAGAATTTGATATGTGACACAAGGTCGCGCCGGAAGTGTCACGCCGTAAGTATCACGCTTATAATACAGTCGACTCCCGATAACTCGAACCCTCAAGGGAGATCGAAAAAAGTTCGAGTTATCGGGAGAAAGGAGAAAACCAGTTTGTACTGCACAGTGAGCATTTTAATCACATTTAATTGAAGAATTGTTAAGTAAAAATTGAAAGATACTTCTAGATTATGAGCCTCATAGTTTGACAGACTTAAAGGTCATAATTTCTGTTGTCATAAATGCTGTTCATTTCATTACAAATCTGTCGCTTTTGCCAAGAGCGACTTTCCGTGTGTTGCCAGCGATTAATTTGTCCTCTTCAAGCCCTAACTAGCGACTTTAAACTGCTTTTTACTCACCTCAAGGGTCAAATTGTTAAAACGCACTTGAAATGTCTACAGGTACCTTTTTACAAATCCAGTCAGATGTACATTCTAGTTTACTGTTACAGTGTGTATATGCTCGAAATAAGGACAAATATGTTAGTGGCCAGGATGTGAGAAAGGAAAATAAGCACCCCATTCAAATAAGTGCCCCCACTTGAAGTATTGCCCCCATTTCTTGCTTCATGCGCTAATATTGAGCATGCATTTACAGTATATTTTTTTATATAAAAAAATTGTTTGTAATAAGAAGTCATTTTGATTAATTGATTGATTAATTTGCTATATGCTCATCTTGATGCTTAGGTATGCACTGGCTATACTTGACAACCCGAAGCTGGAAGCTATGTGGCCTTTTCAGCAGAACTTGAGTATCAGTGCGGGTGGTATAATGGTTCATTTAAATCCATATCTCTGTCCTGGCAAGATAAATCCTCTTGTGAATGATATTCTTAGGTGGAATAGAACTGATACGCAGAGAAGTGTTGATATCTCTGACACAACTAATGGAAATGCTGCAGCATGTGAGTGTTACATTAAACAGTGTAAGGAAGATTAAGACTGAAACATTGAGAGTCTCGATAATGAGAACATCGAAAGAAAAAAGAAATACTGGTTTTGTGCAGCATGCATGTAGAAGATTATGTTTTCTTTTACCTTTCTTCCAAAGGTACAAACACAATCAACAAGGTTTTTATTTTTTTCGTTCTATTTTTTAAATCAAAACCACTGCTAAGAGTTCAACCACAGCAACATTTCCCCACATTAATGGGAAATGGGTTTGAATCCTGGCGTGCCTGAATTTTTTCAGGCTGTCTTTTCTGAGTTGCGTAAGTTGATCTTTAACTGCGATAATCTTCTTTGCATTTATCATTTGGACATTTGGACTAATCCAGGAGCAGGCTCCTGAATAATCACGAGGAAGTTTGAAAGAATGGAATTAAATTGTAGCAATACAGACCCTTATAGCGGTTATACTTGAAGTGGTGTTTTTTGAGCTGGTTTGAGAGGAAAGCCCAGACATCAATCATTTTATTGTTGGGTTACCATGGCGACTCTCTATTTGAAAATTTGTTACATGTAAAGACAAGCTTATTGACCCCCAAGTTTGTATCTGTTGGTAAAAAGTAAGTTCCATACACCATTTTCCCAACTGTGAGAAAAGCCAAAAAGAAACAATAGGATTCATCATCAAAACAAACATTTTTATGGCATCCAGTCATTCCAGTCCCCATGTACCGATAAAAAGAAGATCTGGGAAAAAAGCAAGGTTTTTATCTATGGGAGGAAAGCTCTATAAGCACCTCTCACAGTTAGGCAACCCTCTTCAAATGAGTATCCCCCTTTTTGGCCCAGTGTTTGGGTGATTTCTCAAGGAAATACAAGAATGATTCTAATCCCTTTATGTTACTCTCAGGTGATGTTCAACAAATAAATGTGACTTTAGAGGAAGTAGCTAGGGCACCAGGCAGGAGAAGGTGCAGTCCAGTTTGTATAAAGGTGGAGTGGGATAAAGTTCCGATTGCAGATTACAGGAATGTTTTGTTTTACACTGTGTCCTACAGAGAGGCGTAAGTGAACTTTTTGCTTAATTGATTCTCATGCGATATCCTTATCCACACCGTTAAGGGGCCAAGGTGGTAAGAGTTATTCAGTGAGTCAGAGTAAGAGGAGGAACGAGGAAGACTTTCAAGGACAGAATTTTAAAGGAAATTATATTAATTTTAATCATTAATCAACACTGAAACTTTTCAGATTGGTTTGATGGGAGAGGGGTTCAAATCTTAAATCCTTCTGGGGTGACCCTCGTTTTTGCTTGAAACATTTTAAATGAATATATTCGTATATTCGCCTTTTTCAGCGCTTGAAGAAATTTTTGAATTTCAGCTTGCCTGCAAAGGACAAGCTGCACTGAAATTTTCCTTGCACAGGGCCATTGCATCCCTGTTCACCGTTTATAATTAAGGTCCTGTCCACCTGTATCCAGATATTTTTGAAAAAGCGATTTTTTTTCCCTTTTCCAAAAAAAATACGCGTCCACGCGTAGCGTATTTGAATCGTTTTCGCCAGTCCCCTTGAAAACGCTAAAACAATGGAAATACGACAACATCTAACAGAGCATGCCTAATGCTAGTAGAATATGATGTAACCTCGTATCGGAAAACCTTCGTTTTCATTCATCTAAGCGAAAGCGATTAACCAGCGTTTTAAGGGAAAAAATCTCCGTTTTCAAGCAAAAACGGATACGTGTGGGCTGACGGGGCCTGAGTGTGTCTATCTTTTTGACCGAATCTACCAAATATTTCAGTCCCAACAGACAAATTACTGAATATGATGGTCAAGATGCTTGCAGCCAGGAAAATGTGTAAGCATTACGTTTAACAGTTCGTAGCTATTATCAATATTATCTTTGACTTAAACCTTGCTTGTAAGCTCTTAATCATTCAACCAATGTTGACTTAATTATTGAAATGGATGTTATTTTTGGTGACATTCTGCATTTGTCATGGTGGAAGTGGATTTTTCTGGGAGGGGAGACCCGTTCAATCATGTCTGTGGTATGTTGGCCTGCGAGCAAGCTCTCCAATTTTGGAGAGCGCAACGAGCCGCTAAAGAACGCGTACTCGCATCTCCTTTCGCTTGCTGCTCTCGCGTGAATTCTCGCAGGCTAGTGGTGTGATTTTTTTAGGCTAATGTTCTAGCGAAATTAATTGGTAAACGTTTCTGGTCTGTACGTAAGGCGATGCTGTTTTTCCTTTTTTGTTGTCTTTGTTTTCTTGATTTGCTGATACTTTCTTTTTTTACAAATAATATTGTAATCTAAAGAGAAAAAGTTAGAAAAGCAATTTTAGACAAACATAATCATTAAAAAGGCGGTCCTCAGTACAGGTCGAGTGGCTGACATATTTTTGTGTTATTGTTGTTCATTCAGCTGGACACGCCAGGATCATGTTGTGGAGGATACCAGTGGGTAAGTAAAAGTAAGAAATGGTGGGGGGGGGGGGTAGTACACATTTTATTTGTGTAGGTAGTAGCCTAATTTGTAGTGATATTTGGCATAAATACCAGGAGTGATATTTCGAATTGAAATATCACGAGTGGTACTTACGCCAAATATCACGTACAAATCATGCTATTATTTGTTTATACTACTACCCACAAAAGGTTTGTAATTTTCACATATAGGTATTTCAAATTAAGCTGAAATACCACTGCTCTAAGCCAATCAAATTGCAGTAATTTTTCATGTAGTAGTATAGACTTATTTATTTAACTTCTTGGTTGCATTTGCACTTTCTAGCTATTTTATTTTCCACCTACTAATAGGCCATTTTGACTATGACGGCATTTGACTACAGCTACCACAATGCATGTAGTTTTTGCTTTCTTATTTAAATTTGTCAATCCCGCTGAGAATTAAAGAGCGATAGCCTAAGACCCTGTTTACATGAAGCGGGGGACCCCGGTCTAGTGGGGTAGGTTTCTTTTGTTTTGTGTCCGCCAGAGCGTGAAAACAGAAGAAACTAACCCCACTAGACCGGGGTCCCCCACTCCATGTAAACAGCCCTTTAATTTGCACAAGAAAACATCAAACTGAAAACAGCCCATATTTGGCGACGCTACCACAGGTTTCCCCGCCAAGTGACGTCTGAGAAACGAGCACAGAAATTCCATACTGATGACGCGTCACTACCCAAATCTGGGTAGTGATCGTGCCGCGTGGGAAATTTGATTCAACCCATCAGAAGCAATACCCCGATCTGGGTAGTGACGCGTCATCAGTATGATTGTTTGAATCAAATTTCCCACGCGGCACGACCAATCAGAAGCACTCATTATACAAAGGTCTTGTCGAGCCACACTTCGATTATTGCAACGCTGTATGGTATGGCTTGATCCAACAGCTTAGTGAGAAACTTCAAAAACTTCAAAATCGTGCTATCAGAGTTATCACTAAATCTAGCTATGATACGAGCTCTAGATATCTTCTTAACTCGCTTGGTTGGGACAATTTATCGGTTAGAAGCTACTGGTTAGAAGGGCTAAACAAAAGGCTAATTTAATGTACAAGTGCATTAATAATCTCGCCCCAGCTTATCTCTGTAATTCGTTTGACCCAAGAAGACCGAATTACTGTTTTGGCAACGCCAAGAAAAAATTAATGCTCCCAAAACAGGGACCTGATTACCTGAAGCGTTGCTTTAGTGATAGTGGCGCTCTTCTATGGAACATTCTTCCTGAGGAAATACGTACATCAAATTCGTTAGGTCTCTTTAAGAGAAGTTCCCATAGATGGTTTTCTGATCAGTACTCCCACACGGCAAATATGCAAAACAGTTTTTGAGAATTTTTAATTAATTTTCTAGGTTAGACTGATGTTTTGAACGATGTGTAAATAAAGTTATCATTCATTCAATGGTCTAGACTATGCGTGCCCGGCTGCAACGCAAATTAAAATCTTTACGACAGCCCTGTCTGTACGTTCCCCATTTAACAAGAACCACTGGCTACCCAAGCCTTCAAAATTAATTCTTGCGAAAAAAATTAACAATTACCCCGACGGACGAGGCCAGTCATTAAGTGTACAGATTTATGGAAGTTTATCTTAGTGAGGGACAGTATCAGTTTGCGGGTAAATGACAGTGCAGCACTTTTGGACAAAAAATCCAGCTTCATAACTTTATGCTTTTTTGGTACTTTCTGCGTTTTCTCTTAGGGGAAGGTTAAATGTCAGCGCAGAGTTAGGAGGTTTACCATCCCGAAATCGCAAGGTTGTTGCGTATATCCAAAAACTGAAGCATTTCACACTGTACGCGTTTCAAGTAGAGGCGGTGGTGCTTAAGAATGAGGGAGCTAAAAGTAATCTGGTGTTTATACAGACTAAGGAAAACGGTAGGTCATAAGGGATGCTGACCGCACGTAGGTTATAACTTAAGCTTTTGGGTTTTTTGTCGTCTGTACACTTCTTGTATTAGAATAAATAAACGTTTTCATGAGCTCTTGAGCGAAGGTTTTTGGTCGCTTAGCATGGATAGAGCAACAGGTGGGCTCTACATATACCTACATTGTATAAGAGGTCTGAACGTATTTACATGCAATTTCTAAGTTACATGGTACGATATGCGTAGTCTCATGCTAGACTACGAGCAGTCTTTCTTTTTTCTTGGTCCGTCGAGCAAAACGCGCGGGACACGTAAATAACCACGCGTGGGACTGAAGGCGCGAGACGCGGGCTCGACGCTCGCGCGCGCGTGGACTCCCCTCACTACATCTGAAGGGCTAACAAAGTTGAAGTCCTGAATTTTTTTCAGGCTTCTTTACGCAATTGCTTGCATCTGAAGAGCATTTCAAATTTGAAGTCCTTTCCGAATTTTTTCAGGCTTCTTTTTCTTTCACGAACCCAATTGACCTAAATTGCGTTCACTGCGACGATCATTTCTTCATTTTCATTTCATTTTTTTTTTTTCAGTTTATATATGATTTATTTCATTCACTGCGACGTCATTAACATTTTCATTTCTTTCCGCAGTTTATATATGAACATTTCACGAAACCCACAATTGACTTGTTCCCAACGTCAGTGGCTTCATAGCTCAGTTGGTAGAGCATCGCATAGGTAATCGCGAGGTCACCGGTTGAAACCCCGTTGAAGTCCTGAATTTTTTTCAGGCTTCTTTACGCAATTGTATAAATAGCGTTCACTGCGACGATCATTTGTTCATTTTCAAAATTTTTCAAAAGCAAACTGTTTTCGTGCTTAAAGAAAGTTGAACACGTAATCAACTAATGCAAAAGGCCTATTTTTTGTATGAGAGAGGGCGCGTACGAGAGGTGGTCGCACATGAAGGTTCGACTGTAATTGTGCAACGTTGAACTTGTTTTTGACAGTACCCTCCCAGCCAGTTGGCCCTGAGGCAAACTATATCAACTCATCAGCGCTGCTGGTCAAGTGGCAGCCTCCATTGTACCCAAATGGCATTATTACCAGGTACATTGTGAAGTATGACTTAAGCGATTACTCGCCGTGGAAGCAAGACTTGAACTGGTGTAATCGGCAGATTTTAACAGGTGCTGAAAGTAATGTAGACGATGAGGAAGATGACTATAAAAATCCCGACGGTAAGACTAGCAAGAGAATTATTGAAAGTGGTGTATTTTAGTACTTTTGTATTACAGTGGATTCCCGGTAACTCGAACTCTGAAGGGAAAAGCAAAACAGTTCGAGTTAGCGAGGTCGATTGAATCTTCAACTTGCCGAGTCAATAATTAAGAGTTTACTGATATTTCAGTGCTTCAGTATACAGGAGAGTGCAAATAAGACTTATCTCATCAGAAACTGTAACACTGCCATACATTTTTATGACCGTAACACTGGGAAGTGACTGTCAAATACGTGATCTGTTCATTTCACCTATTAAAAACAAATTGCTGTAGTGTGAAATTTCAGAGTGTTTTTACCGATTAAAGGACAAGAAGCGCGAACGGGATGGCATTCGTGGTGAGTTGAAAGAACCAGAATTCGAGTTATCGAGGTAGATTTGACCAAGGGAAACGAAATTTAGTGAGAGTTAGCGGGGCATTCGAGTTATCCGAGTAAAAGTGACTGAAAAGTTGGGTCAAATCCAAGGGAAATTGGACTTCGTCAGTTCGAGTTCCCGGTTTCTACTGTATCATTATTTTTGAATTAAGGTCCTGAGGATGGTCCTTTTTGCAAAGTTCTTAGCTTGACTAACGCAGTAGTATTCATGCGCATGTGTGCGTATGGTACGGACGTGGTTTCCGAGCTCCTGAAATCTTGACCGAATTTTATTACTAAAGACTAGGAATAAGCAAGTAAAATGGTCAAAGAAACTGTTCAATCACTGAAAGCTGAGAATGACAAGTTGAAGGAGAAAGTAGATACTGTCCACGACACTTTACTCCGAATACTTTCAGAAGAAAATGATCATTATATTGATTTACCCGACTTAATAACAAAAATTTCCTGAAAACTCGGCTTCTTATATTTGCAATGTACATGATTATAAACTTAGTTAAATTGAATTTATTTTTATTTACTTGTTTATTTATTTACCTTTTTCTTCTTTTTTTCTACTCTTTTTCTCTAGTCTTTCTTGTGATCTATCTGTATATATATTACATACCTGTAACCACTACTCGCCTCGACTAGCTAATCTGCTAACTGCGGGCAGTGGATATTGCTTTGTGTAAAATTTGCCATAATTAATAAACAGTTAAACAGTAAAAGCAAATTTCAACATGGACCGCTGAAATGTGTAAATTTAATTGTAGGTGACCGTATTTTCTAGGAATAATTAAACAATTCATATGTAAGCTTATTGAGGTCAAAACGGGAAGTGAGGAGCATTCGGGTCTAACGTAATTCAAAAAACAAAGATGGACTGATAAATGCAGGCTTACGTTCCGTTGTTCGTGCTTAAACAATCTGCTTGTGATGCCTGCCCAGTGGCGTAATGTTAAGCAGCTGACCAGCGTCCGGTAGAGTTATCATTTTGGGATCCAGGAAAGGTGCGGTGTATGTCAGGATCTCGAAACGCACCGTATTGAATCCGTCTTCATGTCTCTTGTCGTCTTTGTTTCTGTAAACCTGTAATCACAGTACAAAGTGTAGTGAAGGCTAGCACTTCTCATATTTCATTCGAGAGCTTAAGCAACAACGACGGCGGTGGCTACGAAAACGCCACCAAAAAAGTGAATTCGCGCTGCCTCAAACTTTATCGTGCTTATTCCGTCTCGATCAATTTGTCGAATGTTGGCAATTTTTTCTGGAGTTGAATTGTAGCATAAGCTCCGTATTATCTTCTAGGCCCGCCTCTCTATCGTGGGTGCACATAACTGATATCTTAGAATGCGCTTTTGGTTCGTTATATCCCAGCAGTATGAAGATAGAGGGAATGGGGTGTTCTATTTAAAAGAGTGTCGACAGTTCGTCAACTGATGCTGACAAGTTAAGAATCTTCCTCATCCAATTTTTCCATTATGTTCTTGTTATATCTTGTATTTTGCTAACAGGCACTTGTAAGAGAAACATAACTTGTGACTGTGACAAGAAAACCGAGGAAAAGGAAAGGCCTGAGAGGCAGGCTGCGATATTTGCAAAAGAATTCCAAGACAAGTTATACAGGACAATTTTCACTAAAGAAAATGATGATAAAGATCCACCAACAAACAAATCCACTGTGGTCTCTACGACTCCCTCGACGACCAACAGTCCAACCAACTGTAGTAATGACGCCCAGGTGAGGATAGAAACTATTGTGGTATTCATCTGGTAGTGGTCAACGATCACTTTGTAAGGACTACTTAACAATTTCCGTAAAGGCGCAGAGATCTTCGGTATTCATAGACTGGAAAACGGTCGGGTTTTTTTCTCAAAATCAGTTTAGCGTAGCATAAAGAGTCTCACACCCTCGTCTTTCCCCAGGCTCGCTCCAGACCTTTTGTTTCAGTGACCTTTTGCGCGTTCAGTGGAACCCTGATAATGCGACCCGCACCGTTGGGCCATAAAATCCTGGTCGTAATAACGAGGTGGTCGCATTGATGGGGTCTTCAAAATAATAAAATGAATCATTGATTTTTGCGTTTGGGTCGAAAGAATGTCGTCGAAATAACGAGATGGTCGTGTAAACTGGGTGGTTGTAAGGCGGGGTTCCACTGTTCTTGAATACGCAAAAATACGAACTGTTTTGCCGTCCACTGTATTTACTTCCAGGGTCTTAGATTTGAGAAGTTGGGGTCTCCAATTTCTAATCTCACTGGGTTTTTGTTACCTACTTAAGCTGTGTTAGATTAAGGTGAAATGCGTGACTACAGTGGCACCCCACCTTACGACCACCCCGTTTATGCTACGATCTCCTTATCACGACCACATTCTTTCGACCCCAACGTAAAAATCAGAGTCGTTTTATTGTTTTGAAGACCACATCTGTTCCAATCCAGAGTTAATTTTTTTTCGATCTTGTTACTGAATTTATAACTTAACTCAGTCTCTGTTTAGTTCCTATTTTTAACTTATCACTCCGCGAATTTCATTATATTTTACTAATATTTCTTTGTGACTGGGGAGCCCAGGCTTCATAAGCGCTCTGGTTTCTGCTCGGCTCCCTTGCAACCTTACAATTCCTATATGTATTCTTGTATTATATTATTGTTTGGCTAAATAAAATGAACTGAACGCCTTGCTAAAATTTGAAGTCTCGGCAACATGAAACTGCAAACGCGTAACTGCAAACTGCGGTTCGCGGTTTCCCATGAAAAACCTGATGCTACTGCGTAATCCCGTGTCACTGATGATCACGTTACTTCCTACAAGGATGTTTTGTTATTTTGTGGAATAGTTTTAAGGTTTAATCTTGGCATAACCCATGACTAACTTGACTTTTTAGAACCCATTATGCCAAGTAACGACTGTACCGCAAGGTGGAAAAACTACAGGCTCTTCTAATGTCCGAACCACTACGGCCAAACCAACCTCTGCACAGCTGACAGTACCGACCACCTCTAAACCTTCCTATAGTGTCACGCTGGTCGTGAATGGCACAAAGAACAGTGTCGTTTTAAGAAAACTGAAGCACTTTTCAGACTATAAAAT